ACTAACTATTGACTATTTTGTGGTGATTCGAAGTTTCATAAAGGTTCAAGTCGCCATAAAAATTTCGGTAAAATCTACAATCTACATACAAGAATGATATACGCTTACAGTGTATTCCTACTAGTAAATAGGGATCAAAGTTGCTGTCGTTGTTGCGTGTGGCAAATAGATTTTGTACGGAATTTGGTTTTAGCAAAATGAAGCTGGGATTGAAATACATTACTGAGGGAATTTGGTCCACCGCAGAGCGTCCATAGTTTGCGTACAAATGGAGCCAATTTCGGAATGCTAATGCAGCCATAATGAACTATAGCTATGTCGTATTGCTGATACGATATCGATTCATTGGTATGAATCGATAATAATTGCATAAGAATAAGATAATGAATATAGAGTTGGTAACTAATTAGGTATGTATTCAGGTAGCTAGATAATGGATAGTTTAAGGCAGGCCTTTTTAAATCCAGAGTGAATATGCACTGACAGGGCAGATAATGTACCATCCTAGACTGCATCTCACTTAACACCAGGTGCGATTGCGATCAAATACCTGCCTTGTCATGAATAAAAAAGTAGAGTGATGATACTTGGTGAAATCAAAGAAGTCTTCAATTCGATTCCTGGTTATTAAACTGACTTAAAAGCTCTAATTGGGTGTGTAGAAAAAACCCACGCTAAATACAGTATGTAGGACGTCGTTACACAAGAACGTAGTTCCTTTTAAAACCGTGACTATCTGACGCATTTATTTTAATACAATTTTGAATTTACCAAGATGTTGATTTTATCGCAAACTTGCTTTTCAAGACTCCGCACGCGTTGATTTAGATTCGACACAGCCAGACTTTACTTAGTTGTTTAATATAATTTAAGCAGACTATGTATTTTAAAATAGCGAAATTTCATAACATTATCCTAAACATCAGTCCGTATTCGACAATATTTTTATGAGAAAGTAAATGCAATAGAGTTCAATCACAATAGGTAATTTGTTAACTATACTTACCTGATTCTTAAAATAATTTAAGTACCTACCAATTTCATTACAGTAACGTCTCTATTAACTATAACGACTGATAACAAGTTATTTAAAGTTAATAAGTATAATGAACTATTCAAATCAATTTGCGGCAGTTATGCGAACAAACGTCAATATACCTAGTTGTTCGAACGTGATCGGTCGCCGCCGCGGCCTCTTTCAATTATTCACCGGCTACGTGATTAATCCCTTAATTAGAACCGCAGTAATGACCAGACGACTGCATTGTCAATTAGCGAACAACATTATTTTTACATCCACAAAGCTGGTGTTAATAAAAAATATATTAAGATATATGTAACATCATGATAGTGCGTGTGTAACATAATTATGTATAGCAAATGTGCAAGTTGACGTGCGTGTCTTCTTTACACGCACTTATAACATGTTCTTAAGCGATAGCTTCTAGCTTTGAATTGCCAATTTATAGGAAGTAAGTAAGCGACGGATATCCCGACGGAATAGCAAGCTGAAGTGGCAATGGGCAGGTCACATAGTACGCAGAACTGACGGCCGATGGGGTAGCAAGGTTTTGGAGTGGAGGCCGCGTATCGGAACACGCAGCGTGTGAGGTCCACCCACAAGGTGGACCGACGACATCATGAAGGTAACAGGAAGGCGCTGGACGCAGGCCCCTACCAGCAACATAGAAATCATTGGGGGAGGCCTATGTTCAGCAGTGGACGTCCTATGGTTGAGATGATGATGATGTAGTAAGCGACGATCTTTATGCACTTATTTAAGTAAGCAATAACTATGTTTGATTTCAGGATATGACGGTATCGAACTAATCTTTGCTGAATACCAGCTTCATGAAATACACGACACCAACTTCCACATAAGAAATGATACAGAAGTTGGATTTTGTGTTTGCAAGTGGTTCCTACAAAATACAACAGTTCCGTAAGTCCTATACATACTTCAGTCTACACTCAAAGCATGTACATAGTTGGCATTGAGATGATATCGCTACACTACGTTTCGTGACTAAGATTAATCACTAAAATTCCGTCTTAACCGAGCACATAACTGTTCCGTGGTATTGCACAGGTATTTAAATCTTTAAGCTCACATTCCATGGTGTTTACATTATTGGCATATTCATGTTGCAAATATCCAGTGGGGTCGCGATGTATCACGATGTCATCACTTTTCATAATTGAAGGATTTATAACATATGCGAAATTTTAATGACGACAGGAGCGCACTGCAATTAACAAGGGATTATTTCGTTCATTTACATCACTGTAGCCACAATGTCTGTTTACGCCAGGATTTATCGGAAAACGCTGTGTATAACATTTATTTATTGACTCAATAAAGTAAGACATCATAAAAAAGTATGGTATTATAGAAAATACATACATATATTGAAAATTTGACATGTAATGAACATTATGAATTCTTATTCTTATTCTTATTCAGTTAAGCCTCTACACCACTAAATTTTTATCACCGAAAAAATTTTAACAGGTTATGTAGAAACGTGTGGAATATTGAAAGCAAAAGAAAAAGAAATGGTTTTCATGAAGTTAATTTTTTTATTAAATTTTCGTTAGTCCGTATTTTACGCGTCACAGCTGGGTCACTCCGCTGCTCGCTAGAGTAGTCGTACGCGCTCGCACGTTGCATCGATCTGTCTGTCTCGCTCACGCCTCGACCACGCTTCCAGTGTTATTATTACATACTTAGCTAACTTAGACCATTTTTAATTCTAAAAAGTGTTACATTATCGTACTTAAATAGTGCTAGCGACGCGTGTGTCAATAAATTACCAATTTTAGGAGGATATTTTGAGTCACTTTATTTTACTCTTTTTTTTGCACAAATGGGATCAGTATCAATAACTCATTACCCAGAATTTTTTTTTTTCGGTGATTAATATTTAGTGGTGTATAACTGTCTCAAATCAATCAATTATTGCATTATGCTTTGCAATTTAACTAACTGCAGTGCATTTATGTAGATTAATATTGGAATAGTATTTATTACATTTTATATGCATGTTAAAAATTACTTAATCACATTAAGCCGGATATAAGCACTTTGACTTTGTATAGAATAAATTAAAACTGGTCCGACTTTAAATACTTAAACTCAAACTAGTATTTATACGAACTCTAGTTTATAACTGTGACAAACCCAGTCGTATAATACGACAATAGCATTTGCGGAAAAATTCTCGAGAAGGAAAAATGAAAAGTAGCGGCATTACACCGAAAATATTGTACGTCTGAATCAGTTAGCCCAGAGCCAAAACTTGGTAAAATATTTCAAGCATTCTCCATTTTAAATCAGGTCAAAAGGCAGAGGCGGTCTGACCCAAATTTTATGTAGGCAACTGTTACATAAAGTTATGTGTGTGTAGTAGTTTTTCTGCAACCTGACGTAACATGATGTGCACAGCAGATACCGATGCTGCGGGCCACGAGGTCGCGACAGGTCAATTACTAATCAAGCCATGGAATGATCTTTTCAACCGAGTAATTACCAATTGTACCGTTTAACTCTTGACCACGAATTTTCTAACCCTTTTGTGCGGTGTAATTAAAACACACAATTATACAGAGAGAGCGCCTCGCGAGACTGCGAGTGCTTTAATCAAACAAGCGCAATAAAAGTCTGATGAGAAACATAATTCAATAGAACCAAATTCTATTATCTAGCGCCAATTAACCACAAGCAAGCCAGATAGCGAAATAGAAGAAGGTTTTTATCGACTCTACCGAGTATAACTTCCAATGTAATGAAAGTATTTAGATAATAATTAATTAAGTCATAAGTTTGATAATTACTTATAAAACGTATTAACCTCTAAACTACAAATCCTTTTCCCAGCAGTGGGAGATTTAAATGTTATTTCCTTCCACTTAATCTCTGAATTACTATGTGAAATTGCAAATGTTGCTTGAGTGTCTAGTATGATTGCAAGTTAACAACTCCCTGATGAGCGCGGGCTTCATTGAGAATTCAGAGTGGGAGCATTATTCGCAGCAAACGCAATAAGAGCGTAACTGTTTTCACTATCAAATTAAAGGCGTTGCCGACTCTAACTACATTTGAAATGCTTTGCTTAAATTAAAAAGTAATTTAGAGTGTCATCAGCGTCGACGTAAACACAGCGACGCGAAATTGTGCAAAAGACTTACCTTTCCATGTTTAGAGAGCTTTTTATTAAGAGACAAGGGTAGACATAATCTAATTATTTTCGCCGGAAAATTCTATTGAACGACTTGGCTCTTTATTGAGCACTAATTAGTCGGACGAAATCTGCTTTATTAAGGTCTGAGACAAAAGATATCGGCTGGCCTAGACTCTCATAGACAATGTTGTCTCCGCCGCTGAGACTTGACACCATCGTGACATCGTGGCTCGGCCATTACCGTGGCCCACATCGCTAAGTACACTTTTCCCTTAACACAACAACACACTAACTACATTGCAGATTTTTAACGGCGTCCGTCTTCCTTGTGACTCTAGGAATGTTTAGCCGAGTATTCATAATATAGGCTAATTACCCGGCGGCATCTAGGTTGAATAGGTTTCTCTAACTATCTACCTAGTTTTAAACTAATCTTTTGGATTTATGAATACGTAAACTTAAAGCTCACACAGTGAAAAATATTTTGACTTTATGTTTGAAGAAACTTGTTTGCCTTTCAATTGAAAAGTTCTCTAAATGAAACGTCAAATCAACATTCCGGACAGACCCTAAGAAAACATTCCAAAGATTTTTAACCTCAGTGAGTCATACAATTAACATAAACTCGTTTTTTGGTTTCTGCTTTGAAAGGTAGAGTGGAATCAATGAATTTATCTTACGCTTCTTACACTTACGCACTGCACCACCCAAGGCGCAGTTTGAATGGCTTCGTGTGCAATTTAGATAGAAGGTTGACAATAGCACCCACTATAATCATCATTCACCACAACGTGGAGGAACTCGCAAAGCAAACCAGTCGTAAACCTGAGAGTCGCTCTCCAGTCACGCGCCGGGCATTGAGTGAGGTGCGCGTGCGACGCCGCGCCGCACACTTTCAATTCGACATTTTCTAAAGTGAAACAAAAGTGTTGTGCTTCAGTGATACTCGTATCGATACATTATCGTTACCCATCAGTACACAATACGTGAAGTGATGTGCGGTGACATGTGAATACCGTGCGTTACCTTTGCCAAATAGAGATTGCATTTTTATGGTGAGAATGTTTTTATTATTTTCTAACTTAACCAAGCTGTTATTTTAGCTGTACTTTCTTGACACGAATAAGTGTGTTATTTGTACTTACGTATATAAATAATATTTTGTTTATAACACAAACTTTTAATCTTTCACTTATAAAAGTAGACACCGTAATTCTTACACAAAGCAAAAATAACACGTGTTACGCAGTTGTTCATGTTTTGTAGCAGTTTTTCTATTACAATTATAAAAATAACTAAGTAATCCATTATAAGCTTTTCAAATTTAACATCTAAAGCAGAAACTAGAACCAAAAGTTTAAGATGCCGGAAAAAAACATTAAACGAACAAGTTTCTATAAGTTGGTCCAAAGAGTTTGTCTCGGCGCTGAGTCGTTTCACCTCTAACATAATAACGCTGTTCTCAATGCATATTAATGCAAACCGCATAACAACTCCTTACGAAGCAAGGAATGTAACAATGTGGTTGCGACACTTCCTGGTACGAGAAACAACATCACTAGCTTCGCCATACTGAAACTAAAACATTGTGAAATACTCAACAAATCGTCTATGTCAAATCGATTTCACAAATAAACAAATTAATGTAGATAACCCGGAATCGATCATATTATGAAAACAATATTTGCTAAGTCGATTATACAGTTCAATTAATGATTAATATGGCTAGATAACGATATTAATTTACGCTTTTATTACATAAGATATCAATATCGAGCAACCTGTGCACTACAAGGGCACATATGTTTCCAGACATCACGTTGGCTGCGTCATACCTACTTCACGTTATAATTCCATTAATATTCAACTTGCGGCATGGCCATGCTAATCTAATATTTACATTTGACACAGTAATATCAATTCATTAAAAGTTTATCTTTAAAATACACAATAATGTCTAAATATATGAAATCAACTTATGAATACACCAAAAAACGAAAGAACTTTGGAAGGCAACCATTATTTCAATCAGTGCCAGCGCAAATGCTGGATTCAATATTCCCAGATATTAAGGAGCAAAAGCTTTACACGCTTCGAAATCCAGTAAACCGTCACGTTCAAGCCACTTTGCCTCAGTCGGAAAACGATGCAAATACAAAGCAACTGGTGACTCACGAGCAAGGCATAAATCATACGGAAGGTGGTTGGCCCCGCGAAGTCCATGTGTATAACGAGGACCATGTTGCACGCCACCGCCGGCGCATAATGCATGACGAGAACTACGTGCACACAGTTATGAACCTGGCCCCCGTAATACAACACTACGTTGATCAAAACAATGCTATCGATATGTACCAAACGTACTTCGCTGAAATGAATAATCAAGAACCAGTAGAAAAATATAACGTCCGGGTCGCTAACGTATTTCGCGATCCTTTCCATCGACCGGTCTCAAGCATTGTTTGGACAAATGAAAAGAAATCTAAACTGGCTGTCGCCTACTGTGACAGATCTTGCGCGCCAGAGTTGATGATAAACAAAATCAACACGTGCTACTTATGGGATATTTGCGTGCAGAATGAACCAGCTCACACTTTGGAACCTGATTGTCCTTGTTGGCAAATGGCTTGCTCCCCTAAAGATCCCGAAATCCTTATTGGCGGTCTTGAGAATGGTACAGTATGTGTTTTTGATATAAGGGAGGGATCTAAAGCCATATCTTATAGTTCAGTTTACAATTCACATCGTAATCCTATTACTTCGCTACTTTATATTCATTCAAGAAGCCAAACTGAATTTTTCACTGGCTCTCCCGATGGGCAATGTCTTTGGTGGGACTTGCGAAAACTTTCCGAACCGATAGATCAATTGTCCATGTCTATAAAAATAGGGCCCGGACAAAAACCCGATCTAAGTAACGCTGAGGGTGTAAGTACCTTGCAATTTGATCATGGACTGCCCACGAAATTTTTGTGTGGAACAGAATCAGGATACGTAATCAATGTCAACCGTATGGGAAGAGAACATTCAGAGGTATTAGCTTCTTATTGGGATGCTCATGTAGGACCAGTAAGATCAGTACACCGGAGTCCATGCACATTGAGAATGTTCTTAACTTGTGGTGATTATTCTGTTCGTATCTGGAGCGAAGAAGTTCGTACTGCGCCTATTATAGTTACGAAACCGTATCATCATGAAGTCGCCGATGCAGAGTGGGCCCCATTGAGATATTCTTGTTACATGTCTATTTGTGCCGGAGGAATATTCTACTACTGGGATTTGCTCCGAAAATATAAAGAGCCTGTAGCGACTCTGAAAGTGTCTAAGCATGAATTAACAAAATTAGCAGCACACGTGGATGGTCATTTTGTTGCAATTGGGGACAATAAGGGTACTACGTTCTTAGTCAGCCTGTCTGAAAATATGGCCCTACCTGGAAGTCGTGACAAGCAACTGGTACACCAAGTATACGATAGAGAAACTAAACGTGAGCATATTTTGGATAATCGCGTCAAAGAGATTCACTTAAAGCAACGTGCAGAAGAAGAAGCGGCTAAAGCTAAAGAAGCAGTTGCTGATGATAGCCCTGATGAAGATGAAATGGTTCAAGCGGCAGAAGATGAATACTTTAAAGTAGTACAAGAAGAATTGCGAAATATAGAAGGAAGTCTAGCTAGTATTCATTTCTCAAAGTAGGTAGCTTAAATTAGCATTTATGAATTTAATTTACTTATTATACATTTATTCATATAAAATCTCTATCCCAAACAATATTTTATTTACCAATGCTCTAAAAAAGATTGATAAAATCCTTCGTAAGTAGTACGAGTGTTTTAGCCATGATATTTCCATAGTCTGTGACCTAGGATAGTGAAAGGCGTTATCGATATAGCTGAGTATAGGTACCATGAGAATAACGCAGACGCTAACTCACATTTATACGTAAATATAACCAATCAATCCTTTGCAAGTATAAGTATAACATAACATTTTCATTTCGCATAACTCGTGCCGTTATTATTAATTTCAATTAACGTGAAATTATATCGTCGAACGTACTAATTAGTGAAGCTGTCAATTTACTGATATCCAGTTTAACATTATGAAAACCTTAGAAGGGTTATTGAACTAGTTATTTGAAACTATATTGAATAAAACTGGCTATAACTTAGGTATTCATTTGAAATTAGCTCTATAAACACGTTTCTAGGCGTTTTACTTTGAGTAAACAAAGAAAAGTCATTAGTTGAATTCCAAACTTTACTTTTCGGAACTGGTGTTTGCTTATAATAGGGTTCCATAAAGTCAAACAGACCCGTCCCGGATGTTTCGTGCGGCCGAGCAGCCCGCATGTTACCCCAGGCAGATCCGGCAACGGGGGCCATGACCGACGATTTATCTCACAACAGCAACCAAAACATGACCTCTAACGTTTCATTAAAATTCCCCTCTCCCCCACACGGTGCAAATGAACGGGAAGAGCGAAGGGGCTCTCATTAGAGTGGTAGCGTAAATTACTCGTACCCGTGAGTTGCGTGAATACAATAGTGCGTCACCGGCAACTTTCACCGCAACTCGATCCAGGCACCGTCGCATGCGCATGGACTATGAGATAGCTAACAACGAGGTTTCAAGTATCTACCGGCTTACTTAACATTAACTGTTATTAGGTACTTATTTTCGGTTACGACGCAACTAGGAAAACGTCCAAGCATTCGTTTTCAATTTTAGCTACCTACTAGCCTAATCGTAACCAAGCGAGAACTAATGAGTGGCTATTTTCTTTTAAATGGAACACAATTTAGCAATTGTATTTTTAATTACAACTCTTAATATAAATTAATAAACAAATTTTATTTCTCATTAAATTATAACTACATAGTAACTTTATTAGTATTATATTAAATTACGTCTACAATACCTAGCTTATTTATTACTTACTGCGAATTCAGTAAGCAATGTATCGTAACCGGTGAATACATATTTTTGTATAAAATTATATTATTTAACAAAATAAGTAGAGCACAGCTTATTTACCTACGTTATTAATGTTTTTCCTATTTTAAAAGTACTTTAATATCATGAGTTAAAAGATGTAAGGGAGTAACGAAATCGTCAGAACATTAGGACTTTCCAATTATCCAAGAACTCAATTTTATTATTCTACGTCCAGTAGAAAGAAGGGTTAAAAACACATCGCAGGATCTCCATCATTTATCAAAAAAATCTACTGTACAAACAGTAAAAATATAAAAAGATTTTCAATAACTCTATGGACTTCTACAAAATCAAGGTGGCTCTACCAACCCCGTTACCTATTGAGAGATCAAACCGAAAAACCCCCTAATCGCCATGATCTTAAATATATTAATTTGTTTGTTTTTAAGTAGTAATAAATAAATACAAACACCACCTAGTACGGTAAATAAACGCTACGATCACCCACGATGTAGGTTAAGTTGAACTGCATAGTAAAGCACTTACGCAGCATAAAGTACCACATAACACTTGCGTTGTAAAAACAATTAAACCGGAACATAGTGCAATAATAGAATCGTGGGAAAATAATACATTCACACATACCTGTACATGTATTTCTCGCCAAAAATAATACTATTATAGTGTCTGAGATTTTCATGAGAATGTACCGATACCCAAATATTTACAGTACTTTTTAGTATGTGACCTGTGATCTTTGGAATTAATGTAAGTTTAAGTATTGTATGTCATACTAAATGAAATTTAAAAAATAAATTATTTAACCCTACAGTGGTCGCGTGGATTACACCCGTAATCCACTCGTGCAAATTGTCGAATATTTTGAAATCGGTCAACGCGATCGTTTTGATACTTCGTGTACTTTAAGTTGCATAGTCGAAGATCACACTTAATGACATGTGAGCGCCAGGTCGCTTGTGGATGTGTCGCAGGAGTCCCGTAAATGCCGATGGTCTACACGTGTAATCCGCGCGACCAATTACGTAAGTATTTTTTAAGTTACCTTTTTTACTTAATGTGTTTGTTTTTGCATTATTAGAGTAAATTAATGCTTTATAATAAATAATTACGGCATATGTATGTATTTACATTTGTGTTTTCAATAAAATCATTGTATTTCAGATAAAAATCATGAACAATATACAAAAAGCACAAATTGCAGAATGGCTAGATGTAATTGACAATCAAAGCGTATCTTCTGGCGAGACTTCGGTTTCTGATGAAGAAGTGCACATTCTTCCACAAGAGAACAAGTTTCTCAGACCAGTGATTAGCTATCTAATTCAGAACCATCACAGCGGAGTTTTTTAGGTCGCTACTTTTACTGCGGAAGAAAGCGAAATCAAAGTACTGGAAATACTTGTAATTCGTGCAACAAATTTATTTGTCCTTATCATTCCATGATGGCCTGTATCTCCTGTTCAAAATATAAATAATAAATAAGTGCAATTAGTACTGGATGATTTCTAAACTNTATAAATAAAATTTTAACTTATTACTTTATTACTAAAGAACCTCGTTCAAAAGTCTGTTTAAACTTTCGAGACGGCGCTTCCTACCGCCCGCACCACCCCCGCGTACCCCGCTACACCATCGAGCACATGCGGCCGCCACCCCGAGAGAGCGGGGGGACTGACCGATAGCTCGTCCGCAAAATAATATCTACCATTTTCCTGGTTTGATTTTTTCATGATTTTTTTTGGCATCAGTGTCGTGTATACTACCACCTCTGAGATGAGCGTTGTTTTACAAAACCACACCCTGAAGAATGGAAAAAGGGGTTAAAGTAACTGCTTTATTTTTAAAATTGGTAATTCATTATTATTACGTACTTGCTTTTTCTCNTGTTTCTTTGTTTGATTATTTCATTAACTAATACATAACAATAAATATAAAAAATAAAGAAACATGTTTTTATAAAGATATGTCTTCTTTTTTTACTCCATAAAATGGCTTACGCATGTAATCCACGCGACCATTAACGTAATATTTTAGAGCGCGACCACCGTAGGGTTAATCAACCCGCTTTATCCTGTTTACTAATTGCTGTCCTAAGATGATAATTGAACACAAAGAAGATAGGCAATTCGTGGTTAATTTTATACATACTGTAATAATATTATTAAAGTAAAGTTTAGGTTTGTCCAAAAATAGAAGTAGGTACTAAATTACTAAATTATTAGTAGAGTCAAGAAGAGTGTAGTTGATTTTGCTTAGGCACTTATATTTCATTATGTTAGCTTCTTTGCTTAAATCAAGAATATTAATACAGCGTTGGGACTTAGGATACCTTATGAAGGCAATTTATTGGCAATTTAATGTGACCCAGATAGACTCGCTAACTGAGATTCGTTACGAATCATTAGTGTCCTTTGAACGGCAACTCAATAAGTACCAACTCCATAAATTACTTAGTTAAAATTTGTACAACATGACTTGCCTAAATACGTACTTATTTTAGCGTTAATTTATCTTCAAGAAAACAGGATAAAAGGAGGATGATCCAATTTGAAGTCATAATAGGTAGTAAGTAGCACCTATGTGTCCAAACACCAAAATAATAGCCAAACCATACTTTCAAAGTACCTAAATGCGATAATATACCCAGTAGCGGCGTAAGGGTGGGGCGGTGGGGGCGGTCCGCCCCGGGTGCCAAGCATCAGGGGGTGACACAAGTCGCGCAGATGCACTCACTTGCCATGCAGACTCACTGGCGCATCTGCATGGCAAGTTTGCGGTCTATATCATGATACGGGGGGAAAGGGGTGCGATTGTCTTGGGGTTCCTTTCGTTACGCTGGCCGCAAGGTTATAAGATAAATATAAAAAGCGTAACGCTTTGACACGGATCAAACGCATCGACACTTAGGTAGGGGTCATTATAACTTTTTTACTTGCTAGAAACGTGTGCGACCACAACTAAATAGATAAGTGGTACCTGCTCTATCAACATTTGTCTTTAAAGATTTGTTTTATATGTGAACTGTAACAGAGATTTTCGACATTATTGGTTCTTGGTTATGCATTTTAGAAGAACGTTAATATAATATAGTATCAATAACAAAAAGAAGAGTCAAGTGACCAAGAAAAGGTTAAGTAAAATCAGTTTTATAGTTAACCTATCACTTCAGGTCAAGCTGATACTAAAATATTATCGTAGTGTAGGTACGAGTACTAGAATTTCTGGAATTTAGAGCTGCAGATAGCAGGTTCGCTACGCACAAATAAAATCAACAATGTATTTCGCACCGATAAAGTCCATGTTTACAACTGCAACGTAGGTCGCCTGTGTGGGTGCGAAAACCTCGGTGGCTCGCTCATCGAATGCCAATGTCAACTAATTTGCAAACCCGTCGTACTGTTATGTTGGGCTGGAGACCGCTGGACGCGCTGATCTGACCCACATCGGCGCGAATGTGATAATTGCGACGTGAAAACTCTGAGCGATGTCGACGTTAGCTGACCGGGTCGGACGCTCAGACGTTATTAACTTTTTTATTTTGCAAGTCTTATTAACGGCGCAGGTAACGTTATTTTTAGCACTGATATAATCAGGCACACGACATCATTAAACTTAAAGGTCAGTTCCAACTTGTTAGCTGCCTCACTAAAATCTCAAGATAAACAAACAGAATGGTAAACATTTTCGATTACATGGGTACCCGGCCTAGTGACTCGTTTACCGGAGTACATTATACCTTGACCTGCTTGGAAGCAGAAGAAACACCGCAGCACGTACTGCTCATGGAGTGCAGAAGCGTAGCAGAACAACGGGCTCAAATTCTCCAATCACCAGCGTCGCTGCAGGAGGCATGTAGCGGCCTAAACAGAATGCTTGCCTGAGGAAGCTGGGGTGGTTGGAGTAGGAACATAGACCACATATCGCACACAATGGCCCAATCATGAGGCTAAGTGCGGCATTCGATTGCCCTGAAAACTAACTAACTAACTATACCTTGACCTTCATCTAGGTGATCATCCAATCATCAAGAATTTTAATGTAGCCAGAAAAAAGTTATTTTTTTTTTATCCACAACGAGGAAGCTATTGGCCTGTATCTCACCTGATATCATCATCATCAACAGCCGTTTACAGTCCACTGCTGGGCTATGAGCCTCCTCCACTATAGTGGAGGGTTTTGCCATAATCCCCTCGTTTGGCAGGCGGGTTGGAGATCGCAGTTTAAAAGATTGATGTTTTTCAGAGAGGGCTGTTGCCCGTTCTCTGTTAGGTGTGTAGTCCCTAAGTTCCCTCTTACGACACCAATGTATTCTACTCTGCCGTCACCACACGGCCTATTACACATTATTAATTTAAAATCTTTTTCTTTGGTTGCAGTAGCGTCACGATGGGCAGCGCGGTGCGATGACACGCGCGGCGCTGGTGGCTCTCGTGCTGGTGGTGACGGCGTGCGGTGCGCGCGCGCAGCTGAGGCCGGCCGACGCGCCGCCCGCTGTCAACGACACACGTGAGTGAGTCACAGATACTGTTCGCTTGCGGGGCTCCAATAGGTTAGGGATGTTTCCTGGGTAAAAAGCAAGAGTTCGAATTAGTCCGTCAGTTATCATCATCATCATCCAGCCACTGCTGAACAAAGGCCTCCCCCAATGCTTTCCATGTTGCCCGGTTGGTAGCGGCCTGCGTCCAGCGCCAGTTAACCTATCAAAAACTACATACACTTTTTCAAACGAATGATTTAAAGAGATAATTACTTATATGATTTAAGAGTGACATCAACAATTGCTTAGAAGTGTAGCACTTAGTAGCGTCACGCTGAACTTCAACGCATCATAACTTCGTATTTACTTGTTTGATTGACAAATATTAAAATACGTGTCCAATATTTTTTGATAATAGAATTGAAAAATGCCTATAAAGCATGGTGCTCGTAGCTCAAGTAGGGCCAGCTTGGTGGAAAGGCGATCCTCCGTCATCCTACCAACAGCTGCCTGAAGGAGCCCGCGAAGGTTAGTACGTCAAGTTGGCGCTAGCGGCTAATTCCCATTCGTCAAGGAGTCCCACAATAGCTGCAGCCCCTCGATACAAGTAATGCTTAAGTAATGCTGTTCCTAATCTACACTAAAAAGTTCCGGTGCATGGTAGTCGCAGCATGTTAGTCCTCCTTGCATCTATCAGGAAACATGTGTAGCAGTGGCGTAATCATAGGGTATTTTGCCAGGGCTGGCAAAATGCCATGGGCCCCCGACCTGAGGGGGCACAAGGCCCTAATCGCACGCGATGGTGCCGGGCCCCCTCTGGAAAATAACCCTAAATACGCCAAGGGCCCCATGCACAGAATTTGCCACGGGCCTCGGATGGTATAGTTACGTAGTTACGCTTCATGGTGGCTAGCTTCGATCATGGTGGTTCCTTATGTCGATTAGTCATAATAAACGTTAAAATGCAGCAGCGGCTGACCAGTGGCACTAAGCTACAACTACGGATGCGTGTCGTACGCAACCTGCTGAAATAAGTGAGAGGCAAGGTCTAAATTACAATGATTAAATTCTTGTCAAATTATATCCTTCTGCTACTGGTTATTTGCATGTTACACAATGCTAGTTAAGTACGAATATTAGGTATGCAAAGTAATAACTACTCGTAAAACGTGGTTAACACAGTGGTTTTACTTTTATAACTTTATTAAATATTATTGTTCTGGATCGTAATGTTTTCGATTGTATAAATGAAACACTTGTTTAAACATTTTCTTATTGTTCCCACAAAAATGTTAAGCCAATCATCATACGTAGTGACTTTTCAATGTCCTTGCTTTAAAAACATTTCAAAAGAATAATTACTTACACAATAAACACTTTCAAGGACTACGAAATGTTCCATATCACCTACTTACATAAAGAACAGATACAGACTCTATCAAAAAGTCTCTATGTTCTCTACATCTGTATAAGATAAGAAAAGGCAGAGATATACGAGTAAAAAGAAAAATTATACCTATGGTCACAAAGCATTGACTCTACGAGATGTCAGCTGAATGCTAAATAAATTCTTGAATAATATTGGGTCAGTGACTCAATAACTGCCAATGGCTCCAACGGCAAATGTAAACTGACTGCAATATAGGAAAATGAGCATAGAGCAGTCGTTGGCATCGATTTGTCTCTTTCCGGAGTTTCATTTCTACATCCAACAAAACATTGTATCATTCACCACATTCACTTACGTAATAAAATCGATGCGAACTTTTTATACGGTCTACTTTGAGTGCTCATGCGTGCGCGCTAAACGTCTCTCTAATTCGTAATTCGTAACCTCTTTTTGTATAGTTCGAAAAACCTGCTCGATACGACAGTTAGGCTTGTTTTGTTGGTGCACGTTAAATAAGACGCTCGAATTTGTAATCGTCAATGTGATCATCTATTCAATAAAACAATCATATTGTTATAAGCTGCAACATATCCGCTCCATGATGAATAATTTACTAACCAGTGTTTCAAAGTGTAAGTAAATGTATTTTCTGTTTTGAGGAATAATAAATGTCTTAAACCGTAAAACAAATAAAATACCCTTTTAAGACCGAATGTTTGATTAACATCAAACTTTACAGTTTACGTCAGTAAGTCCAATTTCATTATCTTCAACTTTCATTTTCACACGTGCTTAAAGTATTTCGCCAAACACACAGCATTACCGTTGAACATTTTCAAATGTTGAAAGTACATACATTATCTCCTTAAATGCTCTGTGGAAATCTCTCAAAGAATATAAAGCGTCCACTTACGTAAGGTAAAATTAGGTAGGCCATTCAATTGGTCAGTCCCGTTAATTGAGTGGCGGCTCTGTAATCGCATATTGCTCGCGCTTTCCCTTTGGAAAGTAACGAAGCATTGCAGTAAATCAACAGTAAATAATAATAATAATAATAATAATAATAATACGTTTATTATCAGACCATTATGATCCATACATTGTGTTAGTAACAATCTTATACTTAAAAACTAGGTTAGTAGTAACATAAATCAGTCAAAAAACCGGTTCCTGGATCAAGCATATTACACTTCAATTTCAAAGCAATGACGACCGTAAATCAATTTCTATTAACTTCAATGGAAAATAAAAATAATTCCCATCATTCTTTAAAATTTCCAATAACATCGAAGTTTAATATCTTTTATGTGCGCATCTACAAGCATAATGTGAACTTTTACAACAATAAACATTCATTTTCACTTGTCCAATCCAATCCGACACAAATTATAGGAATGCTTAATCAACTGACAGTGAACCATTAAATTAAAAGAAATGAAAGTCGTCTCTAACATCTGGTTGAACAGTAATAAGTTGTAATAGTAATAATTTGTAGGATAACTCAAACGAATAAACTGCCTGTATGTCTACCCAGGGAAAGCGCAGCTTGCGGTAGTAGTAGAAATTTATAGTGATTGCTAAGCAATTAAGAAGTTTCTATAAGTGCTGCGCTGAGCAGTTCGACTCCTCTAGTTGGCTGATTTTATTACCTTTTTACGATAACGTTGAGCTCAGCTCTTCGAAATGTCTATTTCGATAGTTTCGCATGACAGACACGTCGTGTCTATTGTCCTAATTCCCATATCATGGATATATCGTATTTAATAGTCACCGAACGGAATATCGATGTAAATCACTCACATAATGGCTTTGTATGTCACGAGTGCGTGGGTGTGGTGAAATTTTACATTTACCATACCACTGGCAACATTATTTGTCGCCAGGTGTAATCGAATGAACTCACGCCGATGTGTGCATGCATTACGCCTAAACAGTACATTAGCATAGAAATTCCTATGTGGGTATCGAATTACCAACGTAACTGGTACTTGATTGAAGGCGTGTATCAATTTAAAATAATGTCCACGCACGCACGTGAAGTGATTATTAATAATATTACCTCCTTAATTACGCGTTTACAGGCATTCCTGGCATAATAATTTTGCCTTTCTGACTGAATTCCAAGCAGCTATTATAATAATTTACGTCTTGCAAGGAGACGATATTCGTCATTTTAAGGTGTCTTGTAAAATTTTTGAAATTATCGAAATTCTAGTAAAATAACTTATTATTACTGGTGTTGTCATGATGAAATGATGGAAAATGATGATCGCTGAATATAGTCATCATAACCTTCTATTAATACTATAATTCTGTGGGGTTTGACTCTCTCTAATTTACCAGGGGCACATGTAGGATTTGACCTACACGCCAGCTGGGTCTTTTACGAGATTCGCGGGAATTGTGGGAGTGGTCTTATTCCACTCCGTCGAAACCACACGTCTTCTGGTAGGTACAGTAAATTTCATTTATTCTTATAGTAAAACCTCAATTTTCTCTTAGGATGTGGTGCGGAATGCGTGCGATGCGCGGCAGACGGCTGCGTGAAGTGCGCTCGCCTGCTCGTCTGGCCCGGAGGCACCTGCGCCCAAGACTGCCCTTCTGGGACCCGGGAGTCCTGGGCCCATGACGACCATCTCATGGGCCGGGTCTGCTATCCCGCTCACACTTATAATGAGGTAAGCGAGACAGCTACACGACGAATGCTTTCATTTCGGTATGATTCCATTGTGGACTTAAAAAAAACCTTGGTATAGACACAGATACAATGACTTCGAAGACCAATTTAATACGCCATTTAATAGGCGTGAAACTAACTCTACACGATAAGGTTGTTGCTGCTCTTAAAAGTACCTCTAGAGTGTAAGTAATTTTATTTGCTACGCTACGCTTTACATCTGACAGAACCCCATCTTAATGAGCCCTTCAAAGCACAAAATGATGTTTCTTATCGAACAATCAAATCAATTCAAAACTACAATGTCGTAACCAAACTGCGGGATGCACGATTAAAAGTGATTTCTTCACAACCTTGTGTAATAATATTATATGGATCAAAATATTGTAAATAACATTCACTATGCATATTTCACTCTAGATAAGTTTATAAACACAGATGCATAATTAGTGATCGTTAATGACGTGATTGCTTTAATTAGTAAAATGTTTTTATAATAAATTAATCATAATGTAGAGATTGTTGTGGTACAAATTAACAGCACAGAAGACTTAATTTTTTTGTTGCAAACCCGCACCTAATACAACTAAGTTTTAAGGTGCCACAGTGTTTATTGTTGTGCTGTCGTTTTACATAAATCCTACTTAACGTAAACAGCGTCTACAAGATAACAAAACCGATTGAAGTATAGTTACGTGTTAGTTAAATGGGTCAGGACATCAATCGGTAAACAAACCACGGCGTTTAAATTAAGTGTGAATAGGGCTTCCAAATATCCGGCCAAGTCGGGATGTCCTTTTTATTCACACACGAGACCACAAAGCAGCCAAATCCTACGTCTATTGTCATATAAGTGAGATGAGTCATTTGATTGTAGACTAGCGGCCGCCGGAGACTGACAGCTTTTTATTGGATTCCGCAAAATCTTACCATCTTTGTTAAACCCACTAGATTATCAAATCAGGATTCACCATTTTCAATTATTTTCATAAACAGTAGGTAGATTATTAAAAAAAAAGCCGATTACTTCAATTTAATAAAGCAGTTTACTTTTTCTGATTTTTTATCATCTTTAACTACTTACTGCATACATTCAATATCCCACTGCCGATTTTTCATGACGTTATCTAAACAAATATCGAAATTATTACCATGTGTGACAACATTACCTGTTTTTCACTTGAAATTTAAGTTTTCCGATGGTCCTAATGTTTCAAAAAGTATCAGACAAGAATAAGTTTGGTAGCCCTAAACGTGATGCAACACTTGATGCGCGCTACAACCCAGATGAGGCAACCGTTGAGTCATTAAAAATCGTTAATCTAAAGAATGTGCATAGAAAGATTACATAAAGCTTTGTAATCAGATGATATGAAATATTTTTACAAATCATGTTTTTCTTTTCTTACATCACAGACTGTTTATGTTGTAGCAATAACACGTCAGCGCACAGATGCTATTAATGATAATGACCGCATGATGCATATTCGTAACTCACGCCCGTATTCACAAACGATGCTCGCTTAAGTGAAGCAGCAAATCGAACGCACAGCGTTGAATAGAGCTCTGTGATTGGTTCGTCTGTCACCCCTGTGATCATAGTAATGTTTGTGAATACGGGCGTCAATGTAGCATGGACCCACTACTGGCCATCAGTGTTTAATACATAAATTCAATCTCGCTTAACAACGGTTAATGAAAGAACTAGGGCTGTTCAGGCCAAAGTTGTTTTAAGGAACTATCCGAGGACTCATCCATCAGGAAACTTTGTTCGTGTAGCTATTTATAATGGACTAGAAACAAATGAATACACGCCCAGTAAATGAAGACCTTTAGAAATATAAATGGTCAATATTTTTCATGTATAATGTATTAAATCTTTATATTAAAGTTGGGCCTAGCCGCCAGCTAGTAAGTTAGTAGTACATCTGCATAAAATTTCATTTTTAACATGAAGCACAAGTTAAAACTGTATAATCTAAGCGCGTAGGGCCTTTTAAATAATAATTTATTCCACACTAATATTAGAGGTCTACAGATAAAAATGTATTTTTCATTATTATATTCAAGGCAGTTTTGTGTTTTACGTGCTACTTTTTCAAATCAAAATCCTTTGATGTTTAAAATTTGTTCAGCAGATGAGAGAATTCTCTGACTGGTGGTCATTGTGAGTAGAAAATAAAAACGTGACGTGCAGAGGCGAAGTATGCACTTGATTAAACAATGTGTTACGTAGGTACGTTTGATGCGCCTATACAATATCAATTCAGCAAAGTGAGTTAAAAAGCAACGCCTAAGCTGTCGTAGCAATTATCGCTTTCGTAGCAGTCAACCGTAGCAGCACTAGAGGGTGTCTTTAGACCTCAATTTCTGCAATGACTTCGAATATAATTTGCGTGTATGATGCAGCACACTGCATCGCTGCAACGCAGTGTGCTTACTCATATACACGCAATGCATTCACACGCGATCAACATTGTTAGTTCGTTCGTCATCTTTTCAGCCAAATGACGCCCACTGCTGGACAAAGGCCTCCCCCAAGGATTTCCATAACGACCGGTCCTGCATTGCCTGCACCCAGGCTCTTCCCGCGACCTTCACCAGATCGTCGGTCCACCTGGGAGGCCTGCTATGGCTTCCCATGGCCACTTTTTCTGCCCCAACGGCCATCGTCTCTACGAGCTATGTGCCCCGACCACTGATTTTAGCAATTCTGCGGGATATGCTCGGAGTTTCACTGCATGATCGAATCAGAAATGAGGAGATATGCAGGAGAACCAAAGTGACCAACATCACTACAGGAGAAATTCATTTAGGCTTGGTTATTTTCAGGTATTAGTAGGCAGCGCGTGCGGTGCTGTGGCGTGTATCGCGCTCGTAGCAGCCGGCGCTGCGTATGCTCGGTGCCGGACGAATGCTCGCGCGCGCGCGCAGCCGCTGCCGCAGCGGCCGGGGCAAGACGACGACACGCGGCTCAGGGAGTTCCATAAACAATTGGATTGTTTGCGAGTAAGTAAATTAATTTTGAAGTTTAATACACACAAAATAACTAAAATGTAAGCTGGAATTAAGTAACATTTCTAATGTAGTAGAGCAATACATAATTATACATAATACATACTCGTTTAGGTACCCCCTTATTAATAATAAGTTACACCCTGTTGAACACTGTTTTAAAGAGACATTTCCATACAAACATCAATTTAAAACAGTGTTCAACTATGGTGTAACTTTTCATTAATAAGGGTCTATCCGAGTATGCTTCAAGATGTTATAAAGTTATTAGGCACTCCCAATTTTGTTTCATTACATCTTTTACTCTTTTTACATTATTCTTCGTGCCCAGGCCGTATTTTACTTATTAAATAAACATTTCAGCCTCACGCATACACTTTATTGGCGATCCTGAACCACACTCGTAATCAAGTCCGAGAGCTCTACCAACTGGGGAACAACGATGCTGCAATGGCTTACAGGTATGATTAAGTAAAAACTTATATTCGCTATGAATCTTTCATGAATTGCTAGAGACTGTTTGAAAACCGTAACTGCAAAATGCTTTATACATTTTGCATTTACATTAAAAATACGAGTTTTATACTTACCTACCTATAGTGGAAAATTTACATTATCAAGCGAGCAAGAAAGTTAGTCACTTTCTGCTACTGTCCTAATTTAAATAAGAGTTAAATTCTCTGAAACAAATGCCTATTTCAGAACGTGACAGGCGTTTGTTTCAAAGAGTTATATACGAGCAAGCAACCTACTTTAAAGAGCACATGACAAAGAAATCTGGCTTGACAAAGAATGACGTATTTATCAATACATTCACATCTCGACGTGAATTCGCTTCGCTTCATTCCGCGTTCGGCGTAATCACACCAGGCCGGCTCCGAATGCTTTTCAATTTGCAATCAATAAATTAGCCATCAGACAGAGATCTCCATTTTAATCTCTGTGCTTGCAATGGCATAATGCGGCAGAAACACTTTCAATACATTTGCATTTATGAAACTGTGAAAACATTTGTAGCGGGAATGGGGATGTTGCCTGGGTCAAAAATCAAGAGTTTTAATTAGTCCGTCAGTTAACTTATCAAAAAATACTCTACTCGTATTTTTCACTTTTTCAAACTAATTAAAATTTAAAGAGATAAAGCGCCCCAAAGTTCATAAGAAGAGGCCCGTGACGTCAACGCTTGCTTAAAAATGCCGCACGTTGTGACGTCGTGCGCAACTTCAACGCACCATAACTATGTAATTATTTGTTAGATTGACAAATAAAATTATACGTGTCCAATATTTTTTGATATTATTAAACATTATAAATTTTTTTAGGCAACTAGCCTATTGTTGATACAATTTCAAAGCTCAACCTTGTTCACTGTAGAGTTTCAGTAGCAGTTTGAGACATTATTGAATATCGCGCATACTTTGAGCACTTGAGAAGTGTACCAAGAGGTATGCATAATTGCATAGCCAATATCGTGATGTAGACTATTGTGGACGTGAAATTTAATATAATTATCGATGGTATCAACTGAATTTGTATTTGTATACGAAAAAACATTCACTGACTAAAGTAGTATTTTCAGGTTCGGCTATGAAATTAAAGAAGGCATTCGATTGAAGACAGAAATAGTAGGTACAGTCGGAATAAAAACAAGCTATAAGCACCCTTAGTAGTACATCAACATGAAAGTTAACAAAAGCCGTTAAACCCATTAAACATTTCATCGCATCCGTCTATTAACAAAGGCACTGCATGTGCACATTGTTTATTGACTTTGACTCTACTTTTATAGCCTCTGTTCTAATTTTAGACGTGTTGCAGCATTTGCTGTGCAAGATTTTGTTAACTCTATTAGGATGAAGGAACACCATACTTTGTAATTACAATTTTTCTATAGTTGTCGTCGCGGTTTTGAACTACATAATGTAGGTACATGACTCCGACAAAAACTGCAAAAGCTCTTCAAACTGTCGAAAGTTTATTACAAAAATAAAACCAAATTCCAACGTCCTACTTTTTATCATTTCAGTTGCGTACTCAGTGATCTGGCGAAGCTGCTCATACTCCTAAATAAGCAACATGTACCAGTGGTCCCGGAGGAGTGGCCGCGACTGGCCAGTTGGGCAGAGAGGTAATTTTGAAAAGTCTTTTTTTTGTATTCAACTCTGTGCTTATAATAAAATCGAAACGTGTAGTTAGGTAGGTCTTCCCTAAACCTATTATTCAAACTTTTTACCTATGACTCACTGAAATAAAACTCGCTATTAGTTGGGTACCTATTTTTTCGCATTTACCTAATGTGCTTATGTTTGATTCGAGTTTCTGAAGCAACATATTGAAAACGGCAAAATTAATGAGCATTGGTACATAAAATACGGACCAGTTTTGCTTATCAAGAATTTAAATATGCTTTTTGCATAAGGCTTATCGACCTCGTTATTTAATTTCGTAAATAACTTAATCTCAACAAACTTAAAGCTTTTTAAAATCACGTTTCCTCTGGCTTTTTACTGCTTTCTTAATTCCTAAATGGCTGATTTTTATCTCAAACTCGTGCTTACTTAATGAAATTAGTTCGAAGATTTTTGTTTAAAAGTAGTAACTTTCTACGTGCGACTCATAAATTAATCCCAAATCAGGTAACCTACCTTCCTACCTAGAGAGCGCACATGCCGCCGGGACTGCGAGATACGAAGCCGCGGGCGGAAAGCTAGTAGAAAATAATTTTAAACTTTTATTTTTTAGACTTGAACCTGTAACCATTCACTTGTTAGATGATTGCACCTATAGTACAAAGAGAGCTAACCTTTTTAGGGATTATCCTTATCTTCAACACTGGATTGCATTTGTTATCTTTGCTAAGACTAAAGTATTAACGACTTTTTGTTTTTCTTGTTGCAGGATTCTAAAGCGGTACAACAGATCAGGTGTGAGTCAACCGCCACAGGAGGAGCAGCTCGTTAACATCCAGCCTGCATCACCAAGCCAAGGTTCCGACTCGGAAACCACTCAGCAGTCTTTCTCCACGTTCAAGCCGCCTTCATATTCCCCTACGTCATATGACAGCAACATTGAGAAAGAGCTAGAGAGCCAGTGCGAGTGGAGTGACGTTGGTCGACCTCCCAGTTATACCCAAATCGAGAGAGAACGGGAGAGAAACAGAGAAACCATCGTTCTCTCCGATCCTTGGGAGAGAAGGCCTATCGTGAGGCGAGAGAGTGTCTGGCTTGAAGACGAACTCTTCGAAATGACGAGACGACCGCAAGACGAACTTACTACCGAACTATAAATGCAATATTCTGATAGTAAAACCCACCACACTTAATACCCCATAAAATGAGCTGAACACGAACTTTAATAGCTTTTTACGATGTTCCGCAATGTACAGTCGCGGAATGAAAAGGTTCGTCACCTTAGTGTCGGTTTTCGCTTGCACTAGGTACTTATAGTTCCAAAATACTGGACTGTCCTGTCGATGACATTGACAGTGGGGCGCCACCGTCAATACCGGATCGCTGGTTCAGATTTTTGCCATGTTGGAAACCATATAGTTGAGCGATGGTAGCGCCCCCCTGTCATTGAGTTTGGTGGGACAGTTCAGCGTGGGTCAGCTATACTGTAAGAGTCAAACCTGCCAACATAACAGTGCAAGAAAACAGTGCTGCTAACATTTAAATAAATATGACGTTTGCTAACGAATAAGGTTTTGCTTGTTTATTTTTCTATCCCATCAGTGCAATGCAATGATGACATTGACCAATTGACAATAGATTTTTATTTAATAGAAATAATAATGGCAGGTTGAACCAACAAGAAGGTTTTAGTTTATCAATCATAATAATCTTCTTGACAAGTTAAATCGTCAAACAACTTTGATCTGAATAATTTTGAACTTTACTGACGAACAGTTAAGGATTATTTTTTCTAACTCGAGATTATTCTGTAACATAGTTTCAAAAGGTAATATGTGCTCGCGATTCGTTGAAGGAATCAATTTGAAAACTGACGAACCTTTTCATTCCGTGACTGTACATTAATAAGTTTGCTTAGATGCTATTTCTTAGTTCTTGATACCATCAATTTAATATATTGCAAATCTGAGGAGTACAAAATACGATAATTCAAATAAAGTATCTTATTTTAATAAATGAATGTAAGTATTTGCAATGGTGCTTAACTAACAGAGAAATGGTTGATTGATAGTGTTAATTCTATTGTAATGTAATTAGATAAATAATGAATTTGAATACCATTCAGTACCTGTAGCAGTAGATGAAATAAGTTCGTAGGTATTTGTTTGACCTACCCCTTAAAATCTACAAACTCTACCTGTGAGTTTTCGCATCTGAAAACAATAATTTTACAATTTATTTTTGGCCCAAGTTGAGAAAAAATAACAACTGATATTTGGAGCCATGCTCTGCAATATAACATGTTAAGTTATTGTAAAAAAAAACTATAGATACTGTAGGTTGTTAAGTAATTTAAACCAAAGTAGGTAGTTAATAAATTTAGACATCTAGTCTCACCCTGTTAAAACGAAGTTATACCTTCTTATAAGTGGGTAAAATATTTTTATTTTTAGACGGTATTTTGTCGTAACTTTTTCTTAACTTACGATATCTCACTTTTACGTATAAAAAAGATTGCTACTTTTAGTATGTGTAATATTAAAAAAAAAACTAAGGAGCAACTGTCGTATTTATTTCTGTTAACGTTACCACAATAAAAGTTGTTTACATTGAAAGACCAACGTTAAATCAATACTACTTTTATTCTTACTTAGATTTTGTAACTTTTATGTGAAGTGCACTCAACTTTATATTTTATGTGTTTGGTTCCCTTTACCTTTACAACGATGTTTAAATACATTTTTTTTTATGTGTATGTGTGTGTTGTAATGTATCAATGCAGTTGACTACTAGTTCTCTTTGTAATTTTATACCTTCTAGTTAAATAAATAATAAATTAATTTAAGAACTTAATATTAATTAAGTTTATTCCAATCTAGCTTAGCGTTGCACATGTTAATTCCCTTACAACGAATTGATAATAAATTACTTATCTACTGAAAATTAAAGAGATTGTTAATAAAAGATGTTATTAAGTACCAATTTGTTTCGTTCGTCGTACCTATCCTTTGTTTATCCCATAAGTAAGTAACTGATTGCATTAGAAAATTCTAGCGGTAGGTACACCACACCTTTCCATCTCTTGCTCGAAAGCGACAGTCTAGTCATAGTAGTGCGGTATAGCAATAGTTCTGGACCCAAGAATTCCTAAAGTAAAAAAAGATGTTTATAGAACACGATAATTTTCATCACTATTGAAAAAAAATACCGTAAGCCAAGGTTGATATTCTTAAAGTTCGTTGATTGATTTTTTGTTCTGGGTCTTATTCCGGGGTAATGTTTCTTTCGTTCGTTTCAACCAATTGACGTCCATTGCTGGACAAAGACTTCCTCTAAGGATTTCCACAACGATCGGCCCAGCACTACGCTGTCCACGTGCAGATAAACCTACCTACTTTCCGCGACCTTCACCAGATCGTCACGTAGGTCTACCTAGTGGGCTAGGCAGACCTACACTACGTCTTCCGGCCTGTGGTCGCCAGTAGAGAACTTTTTTGCCCCAACTGCCATCAGCTCTACGAGCCCATTACCACGTTTGGCTATTTATTCTGTAAGCTAAGTATGTCAGTTTGGTTTTCCTGCTGATCTCCTCGTTTCTGATTCGATCACATAGGTCGTAGAGTATTAGCTCCATCGCGCATCGCCCTTTGGGTAATTACAAATTGGTACCTTTGAAACTAGCCATAAGTAAGTAACGAAGACAGGTAAATGAGTAGGTAAGTACACACTGGGGTAACTATAAAGATTGTGGCTGTGATATTTTCGTAAATACAAGTGAAATCACCCTTTTCTGTAAAGCTATCGTATTCGATAAAAGTTTCATATTTTATTTACTTTTGTACAACTTACAAAAAAAATTAAAAAGCTGTATATTATATTATATCATTGCTTGCTTCGTGACTTTTAAAATCCTAAAATTGTCATTATCAGCTGTCAATGTCACTAGTGTCATTCGGAAGAAGTCGAGGAATTTTGCTAAAGTTCATCTCAATTTAAAAATAAATTAATATTTATTTTAGCAAGTGGCGAAATCGTCAGTGATATAAATAAAGCGATACCAAAAACAAATGTAGATCTCTCTCTGTTTAAGTTATTGTCAAAATAATTGTGTAAAAGTTATGCGCTGAAAAACCACAATATGTATTTGATATACATTCTAACGGTACATTCTTCATAATATCTTCTTGCAATGCATTGTTGTGATGTACTAAGAATATGACCTTTAGAATTTTCACAATATCCATGTAGCTGCTACTGACACATGCGAAAGAATCGATCGTAAATTGAGCTTTCAAAACAGTGTTCATGTTGATTGAACCCAGATCAAACAGGCTTTGTTCTGCATGCGGCGGTGCTTATCAGTTATGGAAATAATCATCCATTTTTAGTGATACTACCGATCGGCACAGTGTCTTAATTTGGCGAAATTTCCCGTTAACAGTAACTGATACTAAACCAAATGGTAAGCACATTCAAAAGTTATGTTTTATGTTAACTAGTACAGTGATAAGGTACGTTTTTGTCTTAAGGCTTTAAAATGGCACTATTACTATGTAGAATTAATCCTTAATTTTTATTTTTTAAATAATAATTGAATAAATAAATAGAAAAGTTAGTTACTATAACAAAATATCTTATTTCCAGCTTTCAAGTACAATTGAAGGAGGCATATCAATTAAAAGTACTATAATAAATACTGATCATCATGAAGCACCTTGCAGCATGGTAAGTTATTTCCTGTTTCATTTTTTCTTATAAGACAAGTATCATACATTACCACCTCTGTAACATTATGGATGCATTAAATAATTGAGTATTGAAGTCCTGTTTCAATGTTACTGAAAAAACCTATTAGTAATTTGTTTGTCAGATAACTTCGATTTCAGTGTCATGTAACTGTCTAAAACTTGGCCGGGAACCCGTGAAAATGACCATAAAATTTACAAGCCATGGCATGCTTCTACTAATATTATTAAGTTGTCCATCTAGTAAATAAAGTAATTTGTATAGAGACTTTAGTGGAAATATGATTAAAATAGAAACTAAGAAAATTTATAAAATCAGTCCTATTGTACAGTTTTGAAATGACAAATTAATTATGTTGATATACTTGTCATACTGAGAATTTTTGAAATATCTTATCACAGTAAATCTGCAAATGTGATTCATAACAATGATATAGTCTCTCAAAATATTAAATATTTTTAAATAGGTACCAAAAGAAAATCAGCTCTTACGACAAGGAGGAATGGGAGACGATGGTAGAACAACTGTTGATGCGCGGCACCTACCGGCGGCGCATCGTCGACTTCTCAAGCCACGCACGTTCTTACCTGATAGACGTCGATTTAGTTAGAGGTACGAACTTAATAACCTTTATCTTAACAAATCTACTATACTTAATCTCAATTACAGGCTTATCAAGTGTATGATTCAACAAGCTGGTTTGCTTTCAACAATATCAAATTAATTAGAAATACAATTAGGTAATACAGGTGTCTGATTGCTACATTTAGTTTTGTAAAGGCATTATTTATTGTCATAAAATGTAAGGCTGGACTGAACATTGATGTCAGTTAGTTATGGCCCAACTTATGCTATTTTGTTTCACTCTGTACTTTTACTAGTCCTTGAAAATTTTAAATGAGTATTTCGATTTCACATATTTATTGTATGTAGGTATAATTAAAATTAAACAGTTGATAAATTTAATTTACGCCTTGTAAACCAAACCATCATTAAATCATTGATGTAATTACTAAATCTTAATTAACCTTTTTTAAATTTCTCCTTTCACAGGCTCGTCATTTCCTAAAGCGAAGCCTACTCTGGGCATGCGCAGAGTAGTATGGTTCGCTCTAGTAAGGCTGGTATTCTTCCCTGCTCTATACCAATGGTGGGCTCAGCAAACGTCATCGGCTTGCGCGAAGTTCCTACTCGGTTTGTGGCTGATGCAAGTGCTTAATATGTCGCTGTATTTCATGACACCAGCTACATTGGATATAGATGTGAGTTTACTAAAAGATCTGTTATTACCAATAATACTGTGTAAATGTTCTGACTCTAGTGACTGAGAAATACAGTTAGGTACGAGTACACTAATGATCATCTTTGAAGTAGAAGTGTGTTTTAGTAATAAGGAAAATATATGCCTTTGCATGGTCTGCCACTATCTGTTATAATTATTTGTGTTAATGAAAGCATACTAATTATTTCATTTATTTATTGTTATGAAAATTTATTGCACACAATATCAAGCTATTTGTTATTAAAACAATAATGTTTAAAGTCTTCCAAACAAATTGCGTTCTTTACTTATGTTTTCATTTAAGCTAATAGCTAGTGTTATGTTATCTGTGCTAATCCTACTTCCTATTAGTATTATAAATGCGAAAGTTTGCATAGATGTTTAGATGTCTGTTAACAAGTTTGTTAATATTTCACGTAAAAACTACTGGACGGATTTTGATGAAACTATACAGTATTATTCTTTGTAACCCAGAATAAAATATAGGCTATCATTTATGACGATCTGCGACAAACTAAATTACACGCGGTCACGCGGGTGAAACCGCGGGCCAAAGCTAGTAATAACATACCTAATTGTTTCGTTTAACCATGTTTCAGGCGGACTGCTGGCTAGTGCCCCTCGGCCTGATGTTGGTGCTAAGTGTGGTCCATTCACAGATTGTTAGCACCACCGAAATGGAGCTCGCGAGAGTGCGGCCTCGATCCACTTACAGACGAAAACTGCCGCGATATTTTCGGTAAGATACAGTGATAAAACATGCGCCAATGAGTCATCAATTCACATCATCATCATCATCATCATCATTTCAGCCACAGGACGTCCACTGCTGAACATAGGCCTCCCCCAATGACTTCCACAATTCACATCGCCGCGAAAATATTAAAGTTTTTATAAGAATTTCAAACGAGATAACTAGGTATTCCTTTTCTTAAACTATACAATAACATTATAGTAATGGTTTACACAGTTTGTCCACATCTGGCATCAAACCCGAAACCATTGCGCTCAATATTTTTTTGTTACATTGGTCTATTAACCTTTCTCCCTTTGAAGTATGTAAAGAATAACGTTCACCTTTGCCATAAGATCACAACGTAATTTATTAGTAGTTTCTATCATAAAAGCTATGGTTTACATAGCTCAGGATTTATAATCTTTCATAGCACGTCCTTGCAAAACGATCAAAGTGTGCTAATGTCATATTTTACACGCAAATAAACGTGACACGTCACTTCAACATCCAGTGCATGATTTTTAGTATACGCACTTTAGGTTTAAAGGACATTTATTTCTCATTAAAAACCTTACAGTCACTTACATGAGAAATTAATTAGGTAGGTAATTTACAAGTTGTCCAATAGCCAGTACAAGCAGATGTACTTCTGGGGGAACCGTCCTAACAAACACATAGTACTTACGGGAACTTTGTTGTACATACGTATAAAAACTTAGTTTTCTAGGTTGACATTTCATCGGTATCTTATGTACTTGGTTGAAATAGGTGTTAGTAATTATAAAAAGATGAATTAATTTCTTCTTAGACGGTCCCGTTCCGAATGTGACGGTGGTAGCGCCGGTGGCTCCGGCGAGAGTGGCGCCACCTCTAGCCAGAGCAAGGGCCCCTCCACCAAGCCGGCCAAGTTCAGACACAGACCGACCCGCACCGAGGTGACAGAAACCGGACTGAGGTTAGCATCCACCAAGCGACGTGAAGGTTGGAACTAGTTTCGTTCTTAATCACTTACTTCAGACCAAACACCTTTGTATCTTTGTTCCATTTACAGAAAACGCAAGAAGGAAACATTAACGAAAGACAATATAATCAAAAGTTTGGAACCGCAAATTAAAAATAAAGCACTATTCAAAGTGAATAAAGCTAAAGACTCTGATGATGAAGACTATATGGCTTGGAAAAAGCCTCATGTGGTAGCTCCTATAGTTACATTCACTCCACCGTCTGATAACGCTACGCCCGGCTCGTCTATTAATTTCAAATCTAATATACTCACAAAGAAACATCTAGAAACATTTAACGTGAGGCAACACCAACAAATTAACGTCGCGAGAGCGATATTTGCCGACGGCGATGACGGTTTTGAAAGTCTCAACGGGTACAATTCGAATGGAAGCGATGGAGACAATCGCATCAAAGAAAATGACGCCAAAACTGCACCCAAAATTGTCGAAGGGGAAATTAAACGAGAATCATCAGACCCTATACCAATACCAGAAGTTATTAAAGTAGTTGATAATGAAAGTACACCAAATGAAAAAGTTCCTAAAGAAATTAAGAATGAAGACGATGAAAAGTCTTTAGATGCTGAGTCCGATGGTGGTGCGCCTACTAGCAGCCCTAGTGCTCCTAAACGAGTAGGTGTCAGATTTAGAAGTTCTTGGGTAAAAGAAACCATACCTAGAGAATCTAGTGACGACGATTTTGCGTCACTTAAAAAGAAACAAAAGGTAAATATATGTATATTTATTCAAATACCTATTTTTTATGTCTACATATTATTACTATTATAAAATATGCACTTGAAATACATTCTCGATACACAACTAACTTATTAATTTTTATAATATTAGGTGATAGACGGAACGAAATTTCAGCACAGCAAGACAGGTAGATATAGGCCATATCGTTTGAAATGACAAATCATATGCTATACTTAACACAGACATTGCTTGATACTCTTTGATTATTCGAATATTTTGTTACATTTGTCAACAAATGTTTCATTTCAAAATTGTGACGCAACCAAGTCAATAAACTTACATTTTATTCGTAAAGGAGTTGCAAAAAAGAACATACAACTCATTTTAGCATGAAAGGGTAAAAACTGAAATTTTTTTTCAAATGGAGCCATTCAGGATTACTGCTCAGAATGAAGATTTGTATGGTTAACAATCACATAAAGTTGGGAGGTTAATTTAATATGTTAGGTAAACATATCGCCATAAGGTTTTTATTCATTAGACACTATCAAAGAACTAGATACATTTGTGACTGAAGACCAAAGAACTAGAATACCAACTTGAGCCCTTAAAAAGTTGCTAATTTTATATAAGTGTTCATCGAATCAGTATACTGTACTAGCTAATGTATTCAATTTGTGTAGAAATTAGACAATTACCAGTCGTCGTCATCCGACGGTGAGTGCTCGGCTTCGGCGCCATCTATCGCTCTCCCATCGCACCATACCATGTCTGACTGGGTTGGGCAAACCACTAACAGTAAGAACATTTTTGTATTAACACTATCATTGCGGTACGCGGCTATTTGTTAGGCATATTTCTAAGAAATAAAAACCGTTTCCTTATCAAATTATTTTACGCCCGTATTCACAAACGATGCTTGTTTAAGTGAAGCAGCAAATCGACCGCACAGCGTTAAATAGACCTCTGTGATTGGTCCATGTGTCACCCTGTGCGTCCACCCACACGGACTGTGAGACCACATAGTAATATTTGTGAATACCGGCGTTCGCGTGCATGTCTTGTATTCCATGCTTTCTAGAGCAGACATTTTGCTTACAGCCATAAGAAATAAAAGCTGTAATTTTGCAATGTCAACTCGAGCTTATTTCAGATTATTTTTTCATACACCATCTTAAAATGGCTTTTCTAGTTATGCCAAAACAAATGCTGCGTACTGCCAGCCATAAGATTTTGTCACAAATGTGTTCCATAGCTTGAGTATCAGTTGATTCATCCCACCTGGTTGTTCGCTCATCAGAACATGTCTTGACAGGCGAAGAGAGCAGTTACTGCTCCCAGTCAGAAGGAGGCCATTCGGACGTGGAATTCCATTACACAGCTGATAGTTCTTGGGACCCGTTCGCGCTTCTGGACCCTACTAGTGATACAGGTAAGATGTGTTAAAATTACCTATGTATTAGGCCAGGAACGCACTATGCCGCAGTCAAAAATGTGTATTGAAAATTAGTTTTAATGCGCACTACCATGCGGCTGTTTCAATACATATTTTTAACCGGACGGTTGACCGCATTCCGGCTGGCCGCATAGTGCGTTCCAGGCCTTACCGTTTACCAGATGTTTTGATATAATAAACTGGTAGAATTGAGTATTCAAGGTGAAGTATATTCAAAGCTGCATTGTGTTCGACACGTGTTTCTCTTTGTGGGTTAACCTCATTATTATCTGGTCGTTGAATATTAATGACAGATACTGTAGAAATAAAGGTCAAAACATTTCCTTTGTACGCATGTACGCAAGACTTCACAAATAAATATTTCGATTTTTATGCACAACTAGCTGACCCGGCGGACTTTGTTCCGCCTTAATGGCAATAAATATGCAGACTTTTTTTTTAATTTCGAACGGGATAAAAAGTATCCTATGTCCTTCTCCTGGCTCTAAACTACCTCCCTGACAATTTTCAGCTAAATCGGTTCAGCCGTTCTTGAGTTATAAGTGGAGTAACTAACACGACTTTCTTTTATATATATAGATGTGTGTTAATATCAAGTTCATAGCCTCTCTAATTTATCAGAGGCCTACAATTCCCACGCTGACTCGACGGGTTGGGGAGGATACGGAATCTACATTTATCTTATCTCTCTATTATACAGGGTGTTACTTTGCATTCTTGCCATATTTACAGAGGTTACTATATTACTGATACTGAACACAAATCCGTAAAAAAATAATGCCCGAATTTTTTTTTTTTAATCTTGAGTATTTTATTTTATCGACAATCTGTTAAACACATCACTAATTATCGCAACGCATGCACATCACTTGTTGGCGATGGCGATGAAGACTTTTTTACTTTTTATTGTATTTTTATAAATATCTATTGTCTTTAAAATGTCTTTTTGACACTTGTAAAAAACTGAGAAATCCATCAATCAAGTGTATTCAAACAACGAATAATTTAATCAAAATGGTGCTTGGAGTGTCTGCAAGACGTCTTAGACGAAATGCTTGATGACGTACCCTTAGCGTTACACCAAATGCTCTACTACCAGCAAGATGGTGCTCCCCCACAATAAGGACGTCAAGTGCGCGAATAATTACGTTTGGTGAACAGTGGATTGGACGAGTGGTCCAGTAGCTTGGCCACCACGATCCTCGGACCTGACACCAATGGATTTTTGGAGTGACTTGAAACGACTGGTATGCGCAGAAGAGATAAACAGTGTAAACGCTACATTATTACATGAAAGGATTGTTTTAGTGAAACTGTGAGACAAAACGTTTATGTGTTGCGAAAACTAAAGCGAAAAACCTACGCTTCGCCGTGCTAGACTGTGCCTTCATCAGAAAGGAGGACACTTTGAACACTTGCTTCGCAGTACGTAAACTTTGTAAGTAGGAACTTATAAATAAATAATTAATTGTGAATAAGGTGATTTCATTTCATACTTAATTTATTAATTTGTAAAAATAGGGTACAATGTTAAAATTAATTAAAACCCTAATAATTATTACGTATTTTTGATGGTCCTATGCCCGTAAAGTAGAAAGGAAAATCTGAAATCAACTGAAGAGTATTTTAAAATAATTAAGTATTATGACTGGATAAAAAGGCTGGTACCCAGAGCCATAAAATTAAGAACTAGGCCACGCCCACTAGGTTTATTCCACTTGCACCTGTAGAACGTGCGAGACAAAATGGGTTTATTCCAATTTGTACTGAAAAACCAAATTTACTAAAATCTTAGTGTACTTTCTTTATGGGAGTCTCTTGTTTATCTTAAATAATAGGTATTGTTCCCTACTTTTATCTCTGTGAATATGGCAAGAATGCAAAGTAACACGGTGTATAAAAGAAAGTCGTGTTAGTTACTCCACTTATAACTCAAGAACGGCTGAATCGATTTAGCTGAAAATTGTCAGGGAGGTAGTTTAGAGCCAGGAGAAGGACATACTAGGATACTTTTTATCCCGTTCGAAATATTTATTGCCATTAAGGCGGAACAAAGTTCGCCGGGTCAGCTAGTAAAAGCTAAAGGTCACTGATTGCCTGACTCACTCATCACGAAATCTCAGAAACTGCAAGTGCTACGAGTCTCAAATTTTACATGGGGGTTCCTTTTAGAACGTAGGTGCTCACTAAGAACGGATTGTACGAAACTCCACCCCTACGAGGGTAAAACGGGATCCACGCATACTAAGTCGCGGGCGGCCGCTAATTACTGAACATATTTTGTACCTGAGTTGCCTTTTGTTTTACGACCTCAGGAGGTTCCATTGTAATCTGTCTGAACTTCGTCTTAATAACAATAAAATTAAATATACTTTTATAGTAAAATGCACGATGTGGGAGCGCGGCTCGACGCTTCGCGCAGAACTATCAGCGGTGGACATCAGCTGGTACGTGGTGGCGCGCGCCGAGCGGGCCATGGCGGCCGACGGCGGGCTGTGGGCCGGCCTGGCCATGGCTGCGGTGGTCGGGCTCTTGACGCCCATCACTAGGCTTGTGCAGGTAACTAGGGCAGTAGACACTACTTAGTAAAGTGAAGGTGGGAGCTATCTGCGGTGGACAGTAGCTGGTACGTGGTGGCGCGCGCCGAGCGAGCCATGGCGGCCGACGTCGGACTGTGGGCCGGCCTGGCCATGGCCGCGGTGGTCGGGCTCTTGACGCCCATCACCAGGCTTGTGCAGGTAATTAGGACAGTACACGCTACTTAGTAAAGTGTAGGTGGGAGCTATCTACAGTAGACACCAGCTGGTACGTGGTGGCGCGCGCCGAGCGGGCCATGGCGGCCGACGGCGGGCTGTGGGCCGGCCTGGCCATGGCTGCGGTGGTCGGACTGTTGACGCCCATCACCAGGCTTGTGCAGGTAACGAAGACAGTAGACGCTACTTAGTAAAGTGTAGGTGGGAGCTATCTACAGTAGACTTCAGCTGGTACATGGTGGCGCGCCGAGGGGCCATGGCGGCCGACGCCGGGCTGTGGGCCGGCCTGGCCATGGCCGCGGTGGTCGGACTCTTGACGCCCATTACCAGGCTTGTGCAGGTAACTAGGACAGTAGACGCTACTTAGGAATGTGTAGGTGGGAGCTATCTGCGGTGGACAGTAGCTGGTACGTCGTGGCGCGCGCCGAGCGGGCCATGGCGGCCGACGGCGGACTGTTTGCCGGCCTGGCCATGGCCGCGGTGGTCGGGCTCTTGACTCCCATCACTAGACTTGTGCAGGTAACTAGGACAGTAATCGCTACTTAGTAAAGTGTAGGTGAGAGCTATCCACAGTAGACATCAGCTGGTACGTGGTGGCGCGCTCCGAACGGGCCATAGTGACCGACGGCGGACTGTTTGCCGGCCTGGTCATGGCCGCGGTGGTCGGGCTCTTGACTCCCATCACTAGACTTGTGCAGGTAACTAGGACAGTAATCGCTACTTAGTAAAGTGTAGGTGAGAGCTATCCACAGTAGACATCAGCTGGTACGTGGTGGCGCGCTCCGAACGGGCCATAGTGACCGACGGCGGACTGTGGGCCGGCCTGGCCATGGCCGCGGTGGTCGGACTCTTGACGCCCATCACTAGGCTTGTGCAGGTAACTAGGGCAGTACGGGACAATACCCAACTCTCGTTCCCACTGCTGCAACTCCTGTATAGCCAGGATCTACAGCTTGACCGCCAATAAAAGCCCAACCAGTGATGGTCAAGTTTGTCCCGGGAAAAATTTAAACTGTCATTAGACCCGCAACGAAATTAATCAGAAGAACATAGGAGGAGTTCGAAGTTAAGGTTCGACTTCCTTTACTGAGGTAGTAGACACTACTTAATAAAGTACACGATGTAGGAGTTAATCGCAGTAGATATCAGCTGGTACGTGGTGGATCGCGCCGAGCAGGCCTAAAAAATACTTAGTAAAAATTACCACTCACTATTATTTTTGTTTTAGGTGGCAATAGATCAAGACACGAGGACAGAAGAAGAACTACAGGCGGTGTCAATAATAACTTACATTCCTTCTCTTGTGATCAGCTATACTCAAGGCTCTTTGTTATGCATGCTAAGTGGGGCTTTTGGTGATAATATTTGGTAAGTCTAACTGATTTAACTAAATTATTATTATTTCAGTTTTCAAAGGGAAAACACTTCTAAGCTAGACTAGTATTTCACCTGTGAATAAAAAAGCTAGTCCGCTTCTAAAAGTGGCCCAGTATCTTCACTCGGGATTTTCAGTAGTGGCTTATATTTCGGTCTGCAACTAGTGTAGTTTTTTGCGAAAGAGATTTAATAACCTAATTTAAGGCTTTTTCATTCAATGTCTCGTACTTAATGCTACCATTTATGTAACTGTAATATGTATGTTACAGGGAAATATCAACAAATATCCTGTCGTGCGTTCTTCGTTTCGCAATGAGTGCGCTAGTATTTTTCCTGCTAGCGGTGGCGGAGCGAGCGTTCAAACAGCGTTTTTTGTACGCGAAGCTTTTCACGCATCTGACGTCAGCGCGACGCGCGAGAAAGTCCGAACTGCCGCACTTTAGGCTCAACACTGTAAGGAATATCAAGACATGGCTCTCTACGCGCTCTTACTTACGGGTAAGTTTTTTGTTTTTTATTGTATTTATTTTAAAAGCATTTTGTTGTCATAATAATAAAACATTTTAGGGTCCTCGCCCACGGCGACTCTTTGTCGCGCGTTTCGTAAACGAGTGACAGCATCGCTACTAACGCGCGTTAGGCCCAGAACAGACGGTGAAACGCAACTGCAACGAAACTGCCACTGCTAGTTACTTTTGAGTTGCATCTAAGTTTCTGCCATAGCATCCGTTGAGAGACCACACATGACGCGACCAGTTTGAAACTTTCAGTTTCAGTTTCATTCATCAGAATCATCACAAAGTTGCAGTTTCGTTGCAGTTGCGTTTCACCGTCTGTTCTGGGCCTTAGTCGCATTTGCAACGCACTACAGATTAGTGATGCCAACGCGCTACAGCAGCGCGACTGCATCGCTACAAAAAGTCGCCGTGTGCGAGGGCCCTTAGTCATTTGCATTCACTATAGGGCTGATTTTTCAATTATCGGATAACTTTTAACTGAAGAATAAGTTTGGCACATTGACAGTTTCAGTATGGGAAATATGTCAACATGTCAATTTTATTCTTCAGATAAAAGTGATTCGACGGTTAAAAATCAGCCCTTAAACCAACATTTATTTTCTAAAGACTAATATGAATCTACTTTCATTTTTCTTCTATTCTCGCTAGATTCTAGCCAATTTCTTTTAAATATTTAAGTTCAACTAATTACAGTTTTGAAACTGTCTGAAAGATGGCAAATAAAATTTGTCTAAATTAATATTGAACTCTTTGCAGCGTCGCGGGCCGCAGCGTTCGGTCGACGTGATCGTTTCGTCCGCCTTTATGCTGACGCTCATTCTCCTGGCGTGCGTCAGCGCACAGCTGCTTAGGGTATGTTGTTACGTAGTGTAGATACTTCAAAGTTATGCACTATCACTATCGGGGTCACCAATTTGTGCCAACTTCGTCGGGTTCACCAATTTGTGTCATCTTCGTTTGGTTCATCTTTCTTCGTCGGGGTCACCAATTTGTGCCATGTTGGGGGACCGTATAAATGAGACACGGGTTGTAGTTAGTCTCTGCTATATGTCTGTTTATTAACGCGGACTACACGTGTATTTATACGATATAGATTATAGATAAATGACGTCACAGCATCAGCACTATACGTGATAAATGTGCTGACACTGTGAACGTGATCAAGATAAGATATGCAGAGATTAAGTATTGTGCATACCGGCACACATGGCTTACATTTAGACATGGATCTGGTTCTGAGGACTTAAGTTTTTTTTTTTTTTTTTTTTTTTTTTTTTTTTTTTTTTTTCTTTCTTGTTTTGTTTTAGGTAATTAAATTTTTTTTTTTTTTTTTTTTTTTTTTTTTTTTTTTTTTTTTCCTGTGGCAACACTACCGCTAACAGCTGATTTGAACTTGTCCCAATTTATTTACTAATTTTTATTTAATTTAATATCATAAAAGGTCTCTAAACTCATCACTGTTACTGTTTTATGTAATTATAAGTGAAATAACGTTTAAATCTGTGTATTGCATTGTGTTTATGGTGCAAATTGTGGAAATACTTAGGACCGATTTGACAGTGCAATTACGAAAATATTACGTTGGATTTTGTTAACATTGTTCTATCTTTCGAAACAGGTACCTATTTGTTTTATATTTACAACAGTAGTGCATATTTTAGAAACGAAATACTATTATTGTGACCTTATACTGTCACCCGCGTAAGAGGTTATATTTACCTACATTTTTGTTAACCTCCAATTATTGATCAATTGATCCTTTGGCATTTACATTTTAATACTTTTTTATTTACCAAAAGAAACAATGCTTACACGTAAAGCCTTCGCTCGCCGGGAGGAGTCCCAACTCCAACTGGCTTTGAGAGATTTGAAGGCAGCCAAAGACTTGATTGAGCAATTAAATAGGGAAAGAGAGGACAATGAGAGGGAGCTGATGGATGTGTGGGATAAAAACAAGCATTTAAAGAAAGAGATGGCTGAGCTGCACACCAACTATGAGACAATTGTAGAGGAACGGAATAGGCTACAATTAATCATTGACGGGTTTGGTGAGTGCAATGAAGAGTACGTACACAACCTCAGACGTATGACCATCATGAAACAAGACCTTTATGATGCTCACAGCCATATCGAATTAATGGAAGCTGAAAGAGAAGCCTGCACAGCCACCAAAACCCAAATCATGTTTGACGAGTTAGTCGGTAGTGCGCCCAGCCTGACCCAAACTGCATCTGACAAACAATTAATTACCATAGACCTAACTTGTGATAATACTTTAAACAATACTCCTGTATGTGGTAAGATTGTCAGATGCAGTAAAAATAAATTTAAAAAGTATGTAAAAATTAGTAATTAGTATGTCCGTAAACATATACATTTATTTACTAAGAAAAGTGACGTCCACTCATTTAACACGAGACATAAGAATAAACTTGCTGTTCCATCATTTAGGTTGCATAAGATAGGTAATTCATTCTTGGGGAAATGTATTACCATATTTAACAAAATACCACACAACCTTGTCGAATTGCCAATAAACAAATTTAAGATACATATAAAAAATACCCTTATGTCCAAAGGGTACTACAAGGTTCGAGACTATATTGATGACAAGGATGCGTGGTCAGTTCAGTCTGCACATATTTGATGTACTTAAATTTGACTATTCTTACCGTTAGATAATTCCTGGCAATAAGTGGTGACTGAGTTTGTTCCGGCGTTTCTTCTCAGCACTTGCCATATGTTTGTCTCGAAGCGCTGGTAGGGCCCAAAAGATAAGGAGACATGTAAAGTGCCCCATAAGGGCTACCTTTTTCTTTTTTTATTATTTTCTATTGACGTTCATAAGTGCCACTTGTGGTCTAAACTGAATAAATATTTTTTGATTTTGATTTTTTTGATTTTAAGACTAGGCGCAGACCATCGATTTTTAGTTGGCCGATAGTTGTGTCCGATTTTAAATTGTATGAAGAATCGGCCAAATCAAATCGGTGTAATGTGCGCACTTCCATATGATACATGCCCATACTGATCAACTGCCCGACTAAACTATCGGCCGACGACAAATCGATGGTCTGCGCCTAGGCTTAGTGTGAGTTTATATCAAACGTCGTCACTAGCGAGCGCGTAATAAAATATACGAAGATTTTACATAGTTTTTGAAAGTATCCGCTAGAGGCGCTGTAAAACCCGTCATACATTGAATGTCACTTTTTTACGCAGTCGACATCGTATGCGTTTGACGTAAACTCACACTACGCCCCTTTGATATTATTTTGAACTGTATTCCCTTGTCTTAAGGTCCAAAAATAATGAAAGATTTATACCCGTTTTCACCATCAATCCCTAATTTTTAAGTGACCCCTATGCAAAAAAAATCTGTTATTTTTCACCATAGGGGTCACTTAAAAATTAGGGATTGATGGTGAAAGCGGGCATTAGACTCGTGTCGACTACTTACTAAAGCCGTTAAAACTGGTTTTCACAGGACTCAATAACCCTCGAGCGCGGCTGGCTACTCGAAGCAGTCGTCTGGTGCTGCTGTCTTGGCATATACCTGCTGCGTCTGCTGACCCTCGGCAGCGACGTGAACCGCAAGTACCGCGGCTGCCTGTCCTCCATCCTGACAGAGCAGATCAACCTTCACCTTGCGATGGAACAGCGGCCCGAGAGCAAGGAGCAGCTCACTGTGGCCAACAACGTGCTAAAACTTGCTGCGGATTTGCTAAAGGTATTTTTGAACCGCCTTCTTTTTATATAGAATGGGCCTGTGGCCTAATTCACGTAACAAAACTTCAACGACATGCAAGCGATTTGATCGCTGGTGTCACTTTTCGTATTCACGTCCGTCCAATTTTGATTCGATTCGTATTCGATCGTTACCTCCGCGGTATTCACATTTACCTATTTTGAAGTTTGGTTTTGGATGACAGTGGGTTAAACGTCAAATGATAAATCGCTAAGTTGCGATCCTATTGAGTAATCCTTCTATCGAAATAACACGTGAATACGAATTTAGTGGGTCTAGACAAAGTGTAAAATAAAATCGCAAACCAGTCGATAAGTGGTCGAAAAGCCCCTTTTTTGTATGGAGTTTTGACGGATTCGATTTTCGATTCGATCAAAAAGTGCGTTTTGTCTAGGCGGGTAGGACTGTTTTTCAGTAGGATGAGTTCTAAACGTCAACGACATTTTGATTACAAAATACGTGAATTAGGCCACTGTTTTGCCAGTTCCTGAGCAAGAGCTCTGTTCAGTCTGACTTATAAAGTTGTTTTTAAAAAAGTTTTTGGTGGCTCTTGACTTTATCTACGAGATATTTCTATCCGTTACCCGTAACCAAACCCGTAGTTTGGCTAACAGGTAAATTGTCACAATATGTAACGGTAATAGCTCTAATAAATCTAACGTTCTTTCCAGGAACTGGACGCGCCATTCAAGATATCAGGAATATGCGCCAATCACTACTTATACACGATCACTAAAGTAGTGATCCTCTCGGCCTTATCTGGGGTGCTCTCAGAGATGTTAGGTTTTAAATTAAAACTTCATAAAATCAAAATCAAATAAAATTGATCTGTCGTCACACTATCGAATGTAATACCTCCAGTTTATTGGAGAAGCTGTATTAGCACGTTTTGAAACAACCCCATCTTCAGTAGAAGCAAAATTTATTAGATGTAAGTTAAAACTTAGGGCAACTGTTGCGTTGAGTTTGTAAAAAAAAACTTTTGTTCTAAATATCTTATAACATACTTACATAGTTTTGAACGTCATCATTTCATACACGTGCCACTTATGCTAGGTTTATATGGCATTAGTTCGCCACGGACATAACAAAATCAAATGAAAATTGTCGTGTGAAAACCTAGTTTCACGCATAAGAACGTGAAAAGAGCGAACTGTATCGCCGTCTGAACGCGACTTATGTAATAGTAAAGCGTGTCGAATTCGAATGCTTTATTTCAATGGAATTAAATATTTTTTTTACTATGGAAACTCGCTCAACGCAACAAGCCTAAAAACCTTCGTCCTTTTCAAATCTACTTAATTAAGTCACAAAACAATAATATACATAATATAAATTATGATATAAAATAATAATTAATATGATTCTATATTAATTATCATCATAAAGAATTATTAGGCAAATTATATTGAAAAAATATGTTTAATTCTCCAACAGTTTCAGCTCCATAATTAATCCATATTAAGTTCGGTATTGCGTCGAAGTTGCAATGTTTCATTTCAAAAATAATTAATATAATTTAAAAATCTTATTTGTAGTTGAAATAAGACATGAAGGTGAAGTAACAACTACTTACAAAAATAAAGACTATTTTTTTTTATTTTAGCATTATATTTTTTATATTTAGATAAGTAGGTGTATTTATTAGGAATCGAATTTATAGTGTTATGATGATCTGATGTATTAGTTATGTACAACTGTAGATACAAATTTTATATCAAAGTGAGTTATTCTGACTTTCAAATCAATCTAAATTCTATCTTGAATAGGTACTTAAAATAAACGAATACGACATAGTTTCAATAGTTTTTTGCACTATTTACTTTATGTACATAATATTTTAGTTAACATGTCTTTTCTACGAAAAAGGTCCCTCATACTGTATTTTTAGAGTATTAAGTAGATATTTCACTGACAATCAATACATTAACACTTAGTTCCTTATGTAGCTAAGGGACTTATTTCTTGAAAGGAACTACTATTTTTCTGATCTCATTTTTTCATAAGAAATCAAATAAACAAAATACCTACTTACTCTGGACATTCAACATTAAGCCTAGGCGCAGACCACCGATTTTTCGTCGGCCGATAGTTTAGTCGGGCAGTTGATCAGTATGGACATGTTGGAAGTGCGCACATGACACCGATTGATTTTTCATACAAATTAGAATCGGGCCCAACTATCGGCCGACTAAAAATCGGTGGTCTGCGCCTAGGCTAATAATATACGTATTGAATACTTTATGTAGGTACGTACTTTGTACTAATATCATAATAGTAATCGGAAATCAGAGCCACTTGCTCTTTATTATAAAATATATACGTTTCTATATTTGTGCCAAATATGAACAAACGCAATATTCATTTTGAAATGTAAAATCGAAAAATAAATATTTTTTTATTTGGATAAATTATAAAATATTAACGATATTTTAATTGATAGTAAATTCGTTCATGCCACGAAATTACTATATGTGCAATAAATGTTATTGTTTATGTATTTTATACAGTGTGGAATCAGTCTCGTGAAACAAACAATTTTTGAGCATCTTGAACGTAATGATAATGTGAAGTATCCATATTATGTACTTCAATGCATTGCCATTCGTTGTTTATAATGTTTGTTACATTGTGATAATAATTATGTTACATAAATTATCCTGGTAGCCAGTATACCGTCGGGTATAGAAAACACTTTATGTAGGATGTATTAGAAGTTAGGACAGAAGTCGATATTTACCATATTAGATCCTTCACATAATGCCATATTATCAGTTAGATTTTTTTACTGTTAATAGAAAATGTTCCTATTTTCTCATTTTTTCTTCTATGCTTGGTTTTGTTAAAGGACAATGGGCAAAATGGTACCCGGCTCCAATAGATATGTGTCTAGTATCGTTTGAAAGGTCTTACCAAGATGAACAACTTTTACTATGACCACCAGCCTCAGATCTGAGGTGGAATTGTGTAAAGCAATCGTAATCATTTGACTGTTCATAACGTACGATAAAGTCAGTTATACAAAGCGTTTGACAGAATAATCGTACGTTATGAACTGTCAAATTATAACGATTGCTTTACACAATTCCACCTCTGGTTGTGTACGAAGAAATACATACTTTTTTGCAGAATGGTACCCGGCTCCAATAGTTATGTTTGTAGTGTCATTTGAAAGGTCTTACCAAGACGAACAACATTTACTATGGCCACCATCCTCAGATCTGGTTGCGTTCGAAGATAAAGATACTTTTTGTGTAACCTAAGTATCATACAGTATGAAGGGGGACGCGCTAGGGGCAGGGCACCGACGAGATGGTCGGACGCAGTGAGGAAGACGGTGGGCGGGAGTTTGCATCGTGCGGTCCACACAGCTTATGACCGCAGTCTTTGGAGGAACACTATCTGTGGTCGCGATCCTCATCAGTGAGGGACCGAGGATAAAGAAGAAGAAGTATCATACGTGTCCATCGTATGGTACTTAGGTTATGCGAGGCGGGAAGGGTTTACTGCTCCAGCATCCTTCCTTAACTCTATAATTATTGATGGGGACAATTGTGAAATAAATATTTTTATTCAAAGAAGTTACTCCCTTATTAATAAAAAGTTACACCTAGGAAGAACCTTGGATTAAAATGACATTTCCATACCAAATGACAATTTAAGCCAGAGTTCAACTAGGGTGTAACTTTTATTAATAAAGGGGTTAAAGTTTTATTTCTTCTTAAGGGTTTTATTATGGGTTGCTAAAGCGAATAAATCCACAAGACCCAATAAGTCCACCTACAAGATGGACCGACGACCTCATAAAGGTAGCGGGAAGGCGCTGGATGCAGGCCGCCACCAACCGGCCATTGTGGAAATCATTGGGGGAGGCCTATATTCAACTGGACGTCCTATGGCTAAAATGATGAAAGCGAATAAAGGGCTAATAGCTAGGGTAGTTCATCGTAGGTATAATCCTTTCCTTTTCAATGCTTCTTTTAGTTATATTAATAGATTGTAGTCATAATACATACTCGTATACATGGATGATTGTGTTATACATTCAATATAATACTTAGTGGAATTACTGCTTTCAAAACGTGAATTAGAACTGGCCCCATAGCAGACATTTTCCTACATCTAAAGGCCTTTTAAAATATATATTGGTTATGGCTATTGGAGCGGGTACCACTTTCCATACATTTTTGCCCATCATCCTTTAAAAAGTGTACCTATAATGTAGATAAGGTGAATAAAGAGATTAATATGGTTTTACACATTTACTAGTAATTCGTGGATTTTTTATAGGATGAGGAAGCGTCTTTAGCTAATATTGGTCAGTGACAAAATAAGTTTTAGGAATACCTACTTCGGTATGTTGTATTTTTGTCCCATGCACAGTGTGTTATGGGACTGTATAAACGGACATTCTCATTGATTTGATGAAACGTATAGAGCTCAGTTATACAAACATGATAGTAAAACTCCCGTTTGAAAAATCCACGTAGTTTTCGCGGTATCAAAATTCAAAGTTACCTATTTTTTTACTTCAAAATTATGCAAAAATATTCTCACTCGTTAACTAATAACATTTAATTCAGAATTGTTATAATACTTCATAGAGCTCTTAAAACTACACGTAATAAGCGTATTAAGTGCTTCGTAAACGCATTCAGTTAATTAGGAAAAATGATTATAGTGATTTTGGTTTTTATTTTTTTTCTCAATTATACCTTAATATATGCAAACATTTTTAATTGCAAGATATAGTCTGATATTTAATCTAATTGTATTAATAAAATCAGCTTTAAACTCCGTGATATATTTGAGAAAAAACATAAAACGTCTTAATAAAATTTTTACGAGTCTAGGGTCGACAATTTTGGAAGGAATAATTCATGTCTAAAAAGTTTCAAATCCCGCCTGTTATGTGCATAGTGTTGAAGGTTCTAAAAAGTCACATTCACATTGTTTTTAACCGACTTCAAAAAAAGGAGGAGGTTCTCAAGTCGAGTCTTTTTTCTTTTTTAACACTCTTATATTAACTTAAGTTGTATGTAAGTAACTAACTAAAAAAGTATGTAAACAAATCTAGGAAGTCGAATTTATCCTACCTTTAATAATTTTCTCATCGATTTGAAACCTATGTAAATCGAATGTCAATACAATAATTTGGTACAATCGAGCTGATGATATTTAAACATCCAAAAGAAATATTGCTATTAAAAAGTGATGGGAAATTTACAATTCTATATGGCGCATATTTTCAATTTGATTTTCCTCAAATATATCACGGAATTTAAAGCTGATTTTTTTTATTCAATTAGATTAAATATCAGACTATATCTTGCAATTAAAAATGTTTGCATATATTAAGGTATAATTGAGAAAAAAAATAAAAACAAAAATCACTAAAATCATTTTTCCTAATTAACTGAATGCGTTTACGAAGCACTTAATACGCTTATTACGTGTAGTTTTAAGAGCTCTATGAAGTATTATAACAATTCTGAATTAAATGTTATTAGTTAACGAGTGAGAATATTTTTGCATAATTTTGAAGTAAAAAAATAGGTAACTTTGAATTTTGATACCGCGAAAACTACGTGGAATTTTCAAACGGGAGTTTTACTATCATGTTTGTATAACTGAGCTCTATACGTTTCATCAAATCAATGAGAATGTCCGTTTATACAGTCCCATAACACACTGTGCCATGGTATAAATATCGCCACTACCTATTAATTATATTCAGATAAAAACTACTTTACCCGTCTTTCATATCTCAACAAGCTTTTATGGTTTAGCTGGTGTTTATTATGGTGTATTAATTCCATTATTTCTCTTGCACATTTCACACTACTATTGGTGCTTAGATTAAGATGAAAAAAGACAACTTACTGTTACTGAATATGTGAACAGTTTGATAGAAAATGTGTACAGATAAAGCATGAAATGCAAAATAAATGAAATTAGTAACATAATCATCTGTTTTGTTTTAAAATAATTATATTTCCCCTTAATAATCTAAGATTCAAATTACATAGTTTTAAAATAGATACTGATACAAAAGAATTCTATACAGTGTGTTTGGGATAGGGCTAGCGATAATTAATTTAAGGCGATGTTATTATGTCTATTTTATCGACAAAAATGCCCCCATATGTGGGCTATATAAAAATAAATTTAAAAAATTAACCCCCCCCCCCATTTCAAGAGGGGGGGGGGGTTAATTTTTTAAATTTATTTTTATATAGCCTATGTTATTCTGGGTTATAAATAATAATACTGTACTTTCATCAAAATCCGTTCAGTACTTTTTGCGTGAAAGAGTAACAAACATCCATCCAGACATCCAAACTTTCGCATTTATAAGTTTCGTTAGTAGGCAGTAGGATAATTTAAAATACTAATTATTTATGTACGAATTTTATTTACGAAATTATTGCGATTTGAGGTTACTGAAAGCTTTCCTCTGAAAGTCAAATTTATCTAACGCCGTTGACTCCGGGATTGGGACCGCTGACTCCAGGACCGGGGCCACTGGCTTGATGGCTGCGAAGCCGGCTTGACGGAGGGGGTGAAGAGTGGAGGAGGCCATGAAAAATCAAGGGCCGCTGGTGCAGCCCCCTCTTCCTCGAGAAACGCCCGTACCGCGCGGGATCGGCAGCGCGTCCTCGTCCCCCTCCTCCGAAGAATCTTCTTCGCTTCCTAATAAAATTAAAATAACGAAATTAGCGATACTTAGATGGAAGGTGGCGAGCTGTTAGATTTGGTGAAAACTGTATGATTAACTTACCATAGAACAGGTGTTCCATGATTTCGTGGTCATGTAGCGGTCGGTGGAGTGAGCCTCGCCCGTGGCGTCGTCGGCCCACGAGGAGTGGTTGCGCCGCTTCCACCGCACTCCAAATATCTATTAAAGAAATTATAGATTTTATTACTACAATCAAATAAAAAAAAAAGTTTGGTTGGTTAAAAAACTCTATAAGGTCACCTCCAAAAGACAGACGAGATTTATGGGACAAATAAATAAAACATCATAAATTCTTTTGTTTTAGATAATACAACCATATTTTTAGAATGCTAGTTTTCGAGATTTTTTGATGTTATGTCGAGTGAACTCAAAGTGCCAAGTGCGGTCCGGAGGCATGGCATCGATTGTGCCAGTGTATCCGTGTACAAGTACGTCACGTATGTAAATAATGTGAAAATGACAGAGGGCCGATAAACAGGATGCTCTTGAAAATATTACATTTAGTTTGTTAGGAAAAGTAAAAACAGAAACTTTTTTTTTGGTTTTAATGCCAGGATCCAATTTTTCTAATATAATTAGATGCCCTATTAAAATTTCGTCTGTCTTTTGGAGGTGACCTTATACTTACAACGCCGGTGACAGGGCCTGGTATTCGTCGAGCTCGGGTTAGGGTGTGGGGTCCGCGTTAAATAAACATTGTTGCCGATGGCAAGATTCTTTGTTTTTTAGGAGCGTGGAGCGAACTGTTAAATTTACGAGTATTTCATGACTAAAGTCTGTTCGCCGAGAGTTGATAAATATTATGAAATGTCTTGCAATAGCGACTGTCGCTTAATTATCGCATTCTGTATGGCGGGCGTCGTTTGTCACAACGCGCACTGAGTACCATGGTACGAGCCACGCAGCTGTCGTCAAGCGCCCCGGCCGGCGGGCGGCGGCGGCCACAGCGTGACCACTTTTAGTAGATTTCTACTTTTTTGGTAGATTTGAGGCAAAGAGAACGATGATTTAGTAGTGCGAAATCGTTTAGTAGATTTTGGTATTTTTAGAACATTCTTATAAATGGTAGTCCAAAATTAAATTGTAACCGAGCCGAGAATCCAGGCCAAAAAAAAAGGCCAGGCCAAATAATCTACCAACTTTTTAATTATATCGACAAAAATAATTAGCGGGCCGTAATTTATAATGAGTTTAGAACCTCTGATATTTATTTTTTTTATCAACTCTCGGCGAACAGACTATATGTAGAGATATTCGTATTCGCCGAACCTATATATATTTAATATTCGTATATTCGTAAAAGTAGTATTAATTTGTTGCATCACTTACCATTATTAGTGGGTCAAACTCGCCAGGTAATCCGATTAGTATGATTTCTGCTATCTCTTCATCATCTATCACACAAACAATTTCAGCAAGTTGTTGTGATGCATCAATTAATTTTGTAATGTATTTCTCCAATGAAGGAAATGTCTCACATTGAATCTTGTATAGACCCTTTTTAGGGCCAGTCGACGACTTATGCCTTTGTTTTCATACGCCCTCTCTAAACTTTTCCATACATCTTTGGCGGTTTTAGCGTTCTTAACATATGGATAAACACTGCTTTGCAGGTTAAGGCAAATTTTGGCGATAGCTCGTTCGTCATCCCCAAACAGCACAGATTCTCCTGGCTCTATACAGTGCCACAACCCGGCGTCTATCAGCACCATTTTCATTTGTAACTTCCAATTACAGTAGTTTTTGGTGCCTTCTAATTTCTCAATAGAAATGGTATTGGTACCTTGGTTGCCCCTTTGTGATGCAGCAGGATGTGCAGGAACACAGTTGCCGACATTACCACGTGCATCATCCTCGATGCAAGTTTCATTATCTTTGTGATTTTTCGACATGATGATTCAAAATATTATGCAGAATATTATAGGCCAAATATTAGTAAAACATACGGAAAGAGCACAGGCCAGAGAGAAAAAGCATAGACATCAGTGGTGCCAGTCGGGTCTTGTCAGAAATTACCAGAAATCAGTGTTGCCAGTCGGGTCTAGTCAGAAGTTACCAGAAATATAAAAAAAAGTAATCTTTTTGAATAAAAAGTAACCTTCATACGGGGGGGGGGGGTGCGGAGCGATGATTGTGTAAGGTTGTTCATGGATGGAAAATGAATACAATAATTGTAAGTTTTCGCGAATGTTTTTCGATAATAAATTTTTATACGAAAAACGTTTCATGGATTTGCGTTTTATTATCGAAAAACATTCGCGAAAACTCATTTTTTTTAACAAAAATAAATCAAATTCAAGTTTGAATGCACTTTATGACATCATTTTTAAACTGTCACTATTAATATTTTTTACTGAATAACCTGTAAAAGTCAATTCTACAATTTCTGAAAAATCACCTAAAAGTAACCTTTTCATTAGTGTAACCTAAAAGTAACCACTGCAGTTCAAAAGTAACCTAAAAGGTTACAAAAGTAACCTTCTGGCAACACTGCCAGAAATATAAAAAAATGTAACCTTTTTGAATAAAAAGTAACCTTCATAAAAGTAACCTTCATACGGGGGGGGGGTGCGGAGCGATTGTGTAAGGTTGTTCATGTTTATAGTTCCAAAATACTGAACTGTCCTATGCATGACATTGACAGTGGGGCGCCACCGTCAATACCGGATCGCTAGTTCCGATTTTTGCCATGTTGGAAACCATATAGTTGAACGATGGTAGCGCCCCCCTGTCATTGAGTTTCGCGGGACAGTTCAGCGTGGGTCATCTATACCTAAATTCGAAATTTTGACCATTCCATTCCGAAAAGTGACCGGTCGTATAAAACCGTTTCATGGATTTGCGTTTTATTATCAAAAAAACATGCAAAAACTCATTGTCTTTAACAAATAATAAATCAAATTCATGTTTAAATGCAGTTTATGACATAATTTTTAAATTGTCACTATTAATATTTTTACTGAATAACATGTAAAAGTTAATTCTACAATTTCTGAAAAATCACCTAAAAGTAACCTTTTCATTAGTGTAACCTAAAAGTAACCAATGCAGTTCAAAAGTAACCTTCTGGCAACACTGATAGACATCTTTTTAATCTTTTTTACATTGACAATAAACGTTCAGAATATAACAAAAATAATTTTATAATATCGTTTATGGTATTCGTTCAAATACTGTGTTTGAGCATTATTTAAATAAATCTCTAAAAAAAGTATTTTTTTTAATTCACGTTACTAAAAATTAAAAGTCGATGTAAATTTTCCTTGAAAATTGCTAACAAACCTTACAAAGTAGTGAAATAATTGCAGGTTACTTACCGTTTAATGATTTCTTAAAATTGTGGAATTTTGCGCCGACACTCTGCTGAACTCTGCTCGGTATTCGCAAAGAAGAAAGGGCAAGAAGAAGAGAAACTGTGAAGCAGTGAAGAGAAACAATAAAATAAATAGACTAATTTTATTTAAAAAAAATACTTTGATGACAGATTACTTTTTATTTTCCAGCTGCTTTTACATTGCGCGGAAATTAGCCAAGTCAAGTCAAAAAAACAGTGGGGTGGGGATGAAAAATTAATGAATTTCATCCCCACTCCTCTGTTTTTTTTACTTGACTCGGCTAATTTCCGCATAGTGTAAATCCAGCATAGCCTAAATAGTTCGTTGATGCAGTGTAGAATAACTGTAAGCTTGATGCCATCGAAAACTAACTGATCGAGCTGTGCCGCGAAATTTAAACCCATGTTTTGTTATGATTAGCGGCCGGCCGCCCGCGACTTCGTATGCGTGGATTCAGTCACCTTTGAGTTAACTACATAATATTTATATTTTAGATGGAGCATGCTCCAGCCCACAGATGAGAAATACGAAATTTTTGGACAAACAGATGGTTTTCACAGTTTTATTATTAATATAGATTGTCCACAGAATAAACAAGTTATGCTACCTACTTTATTTTATTCAACAGGAAAACTTAAAAATCTATTCATTATTCTACGACGAACACTTTCTGGTAACGGTAATTTTAATATATTGTAATAAAACATGTATCTCCATGATTCTACTTTGTATAACTCCTTAGGGTGCTCATCAGTTAACGCTTTTACAAAGGTTTCTATAATAATTTCATCTTTCAATGAATCGAAACTTGTTTCGCATGAAACTGCTGCTAAATAGTTATTGAGGGCTGTGATTCGTTTGCCGTAGAATGCCTTTTGTTCTTCGTCTAAGTTTTCTAGCATGCTGCTTCCATAATCTGCTTGTTTCGATAACAGGCTGCTGGCACCAACGAAGCCTCCTGAAACAAAAAGAATATAAGTAAGTAAACAACGAATTAATCAGAAGAACATAAGTAGGAGGAGTTTGAAGTTAATGTAGGTAGGTACAATAGGGAACGCTAGGTAGGTATTTATAGGGTTTGTTGAGGTCCAGTGGTTGGACCAAAGCGCTCAGGATCAGCGTCCTGCACCGAAAGAGGTAGAGTAGAGGGAGCGAGCGAAGAGAGTTAGCCATTTTTTTTCGACCGGAAAATGGATGAATCTGAGCCGATGGGTTATGTGGGGCTCTCCTTGCCAGAAGGGCGAGGCCTACCCACTAAAAACCAGTCGGGTCCCTCAGGTCGCGCTTAGTGAGCAGCATACGAGTCGGTGAATCGTTCGCATGCCTGCGCCACGCAACGGCCGCAGCCTCGCTCTTCAGGGGTCCCCTCTCCAAAGCACGTGGGGAATCCGCGTGTTAAGGAGGCGGATGCCCTTGCGTCCACCATCTCGATCCATCTACAGGTAATCTATTAGGTATAATGTATTACGTAGGTTAGTCATCATCATCATCATCATCTCAGCCATAGGACGTCCACTGCTAAACATAGGGCTCCCACAATGCTTTCCATGTTGCCCGGTTGGTAGCGGCCTGCGTCCAGCGCCTTCCTGCTACCTTTATGATGTCGTCGGTCCACCTTGTGGGTGGAGGTCCCACGCTGCGTTTTCCGATACGCGGCCTCCACTCTAGAACCTTGCTGCCTCATCGACCGTCAGTTCTGCGTACTATGTGCCCTGCCCATTACCACTTCAGCTTGCAATCCGTCGGGCTTTAGTCAGCGTCAGCGACTTTAGTTCGTTTACGGATCTCATCATTTCTGATTCGATCTCGTAGCTTAGTACCGGGTATGAAAGCGACTGCAGTCAAGTCATGAGGCGCGTGTTCCAGTCGCAACGATTGCGTCCACGCCAACAGTCCGGCCTTACTGGCGCTATATGCCCCGAAGCCCGCTAGTGGTTGTAATCCGCAGTGGCTGGCTACGTTGATAACGCGCGGCTGTGCCCCCTGAAACTGCAAAACCTGCATTTAATTCACAAATTTTAACTAAGTCTTACTTAATGTCTATAGTCCACAACTAGAGATGGGTAGTGGGTAAAAACCCATTTCACCCGATTGGGTTTAAACTGGGTGATTTGGGTAAAAACCCGGTTTTTACCCATTATCACCCATTCTGGTGGGTGAAAACAAAAATAGCGTTTTTTTAAAGTGAGAAGTGGTATTTGTTGCTAAGGGGGCGTTCTAGTGTTACGTAATGCAATCTGGGGGGAGAGGAGGTCTTGAAAAACGTTACAATGCGTTACAGTGGCGGAAGGGCGGTCGATTTCAAGTTTTCAAGCAGAAGTACTTTGTAGTTGGTGTTGTTATTTGTAACGTTATACCGTAATGTCATCAAAGAGAGAGTTTGGCATCTTTGGCATCCCCCCCTCCATGTCCTTGCCATGATCACAAATTATTGTGTTCCTACTAAATTTCTTTTAAATCGGTTCAACGATTCTTGAAATAACACCATTTTATAAAATAATTGGTCACAACATCATAACGTGATCAATTTTACGATTTGGCCACGATATAAATGCATATTAGTGTTAAATTTGACTTATTACTTATTAATCAATAAACTTAAATGAGAAAAATTCAATAAAAATAAAGAAAAGATACCAATTGAAATAATTATAAAATTATTTGTTTTCACCCGGTGTAAACACCCACGGGTGGAATGAAACGGGTTTTTATTGGGTTTTTACCCTCATGTGGGTTTTTACCCGGGTGGAAACCCATCTCTATCCACAACTGCGTAAGTGCGTACGCGTAGTAATCAATAACAACAACAAGGTAGAGCGTTAATATGCAAAAGCGAACATTCTACGGAGACTTCTCTTCTGACTTAAGACTTCTTATCGAAATTGTGTTATTAAGAATAACGTGAAAATTCTTTGTAAGTAGAGGTTCCCACTTTACCTACTTACTCATTTCCTTAAATTGTCCTCCGACACAAAAGCAGGTTCTATTACAAAAATAAAACTTTTCAATCAGTCAAGCTCACTGATTTAGGTACTTACTTATTTCGTGTTTTTCTCATTTTACCAGAAGTTTGTTTTCCTGTTATTAGCTGATGTTATTGCTATGTAAAGCATGCAACTTGAAACGAGAAATTCCGCCAATTACATTATTTAGGTAAGGAAGCTACCAGAATAGAATTCTGTGGATTATAAGTTACCTAGCTAGGTACTTAATTATGAACTAATGTATTATTAAGACTTCGTAACACGCAAGGGCTTTGCTTTAGTATACAGGGTGGAATTTTATAATGTAATCAATGTTTTCTCAAAGAAAACATTCCTTTATTTTTGAAAAGAAAGAGACCTGCATTAAGAGTACGTAAGTACTTTCCCTTCAGGTCGCATTATGAAATGCCACCCATTAAGTCGTGAAATTGTGACACCCATTTAGAACTGATATGAAAATGGAGTGCATGTTACGCACAAAAAAAAAACCAGATCAATATTCAATAATAAAGGTAGGTCCGTAGTTAAGCCATATTTACTACTACTTTTTACCTAAGATAAAATAAGAGGAATCGTAATAATTTAATTTGTTTTTGTAAGTTACCTTTTTAACGATTTTTCCTGCTCTGCCGACTAAATTTAAGTTAAGGAAATGGGAATCCTAATTCGGCAAGAATTAGTTTAATTACATTTTTACCACTTCGAAAAAACCTTCTGGCTCGAAGTATCGGCGGAGTTAATTTTCTTTATCCTCTTGCTTCGTGTTTTCTACAGAATTTCTTTATCAAAAAGGCAGTACCTACCTATAAGTATTATATTAAATTAATTTCGTTATAAGCAGTGTGCACTTAGCGTAGATAAGTATCGGTTTTTCCTAATAGAAAGGGTTTTTTTTCCAGAATTGGATTAACCAACTTTAAACTAGATAATTATGACATACCTACTTAAAAGTAGATTTTTGCCATTGTGTAGGTACTCAGGCTGAGTTGCACCACCTAACTTTAACGGTAACTAGGACGATAACTATTGACAGATTTTTGACGTTAGCCAAAGTTAAAGTAAGATGGTACAACCCAACCTTAGATTGTGAAAGCTCTACCTGTAGCGCTGTTCTCCTAAGGTCTGGTAGAAACGCTGACACCACTCTCATGGCCCCTAATAAGTTTACATTTATGGTAGCCTCTATCATACTCGGCCTCTGCCACTCGTAGTCGCCGATCGTCATCACTCCAGCATTGTTCACAATCGCATATAGCTCTATAAAAGATGAGAAAATTCAAAATTGTTAATTTATTTTAAAGTAATTTATTTCTCAAAATTCGTCAAAAATGGCGCCTCACGCTTTTAAAATGTAACAATTGTAGGTGTTGATCATGTCCGAAATAATAGTAAAGAGATTGGAAATCAATCAAATGATGAAAATTAAAACCTATCATTAGATTTTCTTAATATTATTATAAATAAAAATGCGATCCTTCGTCTTATGTTCCATAAGATTGTCTTGTACTTAATTTAATTTAGAAAGAAGCTCTTAGGACTCAATAAATTTACTACTGTAGGAGAATATGTAAGGCGGAGAATCAATTGAATTTAATACTGGAGTAGGGAAGTACCCATGTCATCCTGATAGAAAATTAAATAAAACAATAATTAAAGAAGGAAGTGTTATCACGTGACATAAAAAACAATTGAATTACTTCATACCTAATGATACTTACTATAGTTTGGGTTATCTTTTAGCAGCTTGTCGACGTATTCTTTGAAATCTGACACGCTATTATTATCAGTGACGTCTAATTGGCACGGGTGAGCGCTGAGTTTCTTCAGCGCTTGGCCGGCTGGAGTATCAGCACCTTGAAAAAAAAACAAGAATATTGAAAATTATCCACTAAACCCTTGAGGTAAGATAAGTAATAGGTAAGTTACCAGCCCTCCTAGACAAAGTTACTATACCTACCTGGTTACCTACAAACGTGACCGTCGTAATTCTGAAATGTAATTAAGTAGATAAGTTACTGCACTCCGTAAGCGATTTAGAAATTAAAACTGTCACGAATATTAGTTTGTCTACCATCAAAGGTTGAATGTTTCTCATAGTATGGGATAATTATTTGTTTATTTAATTTTTAGTTCATTGAACATTGGTAGGTACACGAATAACGCTCTAGAAACTAAAAGAAATAGAAACTAAACTAGAAATTATGCCTAATTATCTACCTTTCAGCATCCCTGCAACAGTGACCAGGCCTTCCCGGGCAGCCCGGGCTGCGATGGCCCATCCGAGCCCGCTGTCACAGCCCGTGATGGCCACTACTCGTGTGGATGACATGATGTGCTGCCGAGTTATTATCAATTTATTTAACATTTATGTCTCTATTAGGTACGAATTAACATTATTTAAATACAAAACAACAAGATGTTTATAATATTGTTTGTTATTAACAGATAAATAGAACAACTGATTGATAATTAATATTTACGTACCTGTGTTTCCAACTCGTGAAAAGACCACAGCAACACCAAAGTTTCTGAAGACTTTTAACTTTAAAAACGGTCAGCCCGTGCAAATATCAGCAAAGTCGGCAAGAAACTGACCGCTGTAAATAAGATCCTCGGCGGACTTGTTGCATATGAAACGGGTTTCGGATTTCGTTGCATATTTACAACGAATTTCATGTTTCTTTTTAACACGGTTTACGGTCATGAACGGTTGTTCTAATGTTATTCCCCTCCCGATACTAAAACAACTTTGAAGCGATAACTACCTGGATTTGGGAAGAGCCGAGGGTGCGCCATAAAAATTGAGAGTGCTCGCCGAATAAGCTGTTACGTATTTATTGTATGAGCAGGTAATATCTCCCTACTTTGTTGTCTGGAATGAATGAAACACCGCTAAAAAGTTGTTTCAGATTCATCATATTTTACTATGACAGTTGTCCCAGTTTCGTGAGGTTAAAAGAACAAAGGGCTATTGTATGATCCGAGTATTGTTTTCGCCACAGTCAACTTTGTCTTATCCACGAAGTTTCGTCAAACATTAAAATTGGCGGGCTGGGGCCACGATGAAAATGTCGAATACTTCGACAAAGAGACGCCAATAAAAGAGGATCGTTTCAGCACGAATACCCATCTGAGAGATTAGACCTATTGGACGGAAACAATCTTGTATTTCTGGTTGACTTAATTCAGGATCCGATCTGCGGGGCTAAAAGTGTTTTGGGAGATACAACCACAAATAACATGAGGCCCTTTCCCGACGCCTGTTCCGTACCCATAGAAAGCGTGATTAAAATATGTAATTTAAATTCCGACCGATACACCACCGCAAATTGGGCAAATATTTTCATAACACGAAAAGGGGTCGCCGACACTCATAATGGAACAAATTTTATCAAAATAATGGTCTCTGATTCCGTGTTTACCGGCTAAATATGGATAAATTTGAATAAAATCATGTTACCAGTCCAAGCTGAACGCGAAATCCTTTCATTAAAATGGGACTCCAATTATTGGCATGAAAAAGTTTTCCAATTACGTATAAATTGCTCGCTGAATATGGCGGTGACTTGTGAAGGTGTTACAAACAAAATTGACAATCCCTGGCTTTGGTGGACATTAGTTTTATTTCGAGGTAGATATAGTTTTGTCTACCCTTTTGATATAAGTCTACTACCTACTACTAAACTGTGAAATAATTTATTTTAGTGGTTTATTCGAGAGTTAAATTCGAACTCTTGATCGGCAGTCCTGGGTTCGATCTCCTGTTATTCGTATTACACACTTACAGTTTGCTTAGGAATAGGATGTGTATGGCACACGTTAGAAGACGATGTTTCTTATCAATTTTATATTTATCTGCTTTTCTTTTTCAGTCATATTCCTAATTAAAATTCAATCCTTTAAGTGAGAATAGTTTCTCCCGTTTACTTTCATTTAAAAATGATATTTTTTCAACTTCGTACACTCGTATCAAAATATGTCAAGTTTTTAAGCGGCCGGGGACGCAAAAAGATTGGCAAATAACAAAATTGTGTCGCTTCCCAACGGGGCCGGCGCTAATTGTGACGTCGCGTGGATATTTACCGTCGCATCGTTCTTTATTTGTTGCATTGATTTTACATTTTCCGACCCGGTGGGAGCGCAGATTGTGAATGGCGCGATATTGGGTTTCAGGGATCAGTGACGAAGCGCTGACAAATTATATTCCTTTCTGGAGCACCGGGACTCGGTCCCCAGCGCCTCGTGTACCGCCGATAATGTAATTATGTCTAAAATATCTTTTTGATTACGCACTCTTCCCTTATTTGCCGATCCAATATTTTTTTTGCTTCACTCATTTTGCAGGCGGATTCGACGCCTTTTTGCGAGTTCTCTCATGTGGTGATTATTTCTTCTGATTTCAAGAACAGACATATTGGATTTTGTGATTCGGGGTAAAATAAATCGAAGTCATATTTGCTTTTATTTATTTAAATCTGAAAGGAAATTTTCGCGAGTGAAGGCGATGGTTTTATGATTGAAGTGTTTGAAAGCAAAAGACATACTTACTACCTTGTAAAATATTCATTGGTTTCAATGAGCAAATTAAGAAAAGTTGTAAGTAAAGTCTAGTAGCTAATTTCAATGTAAAGTTGAATAAAAATCTTAGTTTCTACTTATTTTACGGCCTTTTCACAAAAGCTACGACAGCAGACGCAGACTGTTTTGTAGTTTCGTAGCATATTGCAGAAGATAAGATGATTTACAGACTCTATTCGCTGGGTGCGAAGTACTAGGTGGGGGGACATAATCTATCGCAGCGCTCATGGTGGTCAAAAGTAGAAATAATGTAAGCTCTGTCATCAGATGTATCTGTCAATGGCAAAGCGATTCTACATAATACATTTTAATATCATTAATTAATCGCATGAAAAGGGTCCTACTGGGAACTTAAATAAAAGAGTGGACTGTATTTCGATAGGGCTGTTTTAATAGCCGTTTACAATTTGGAAATAACTAAACTATACAACGTGGTAGTACAAAAATGAGTCACAGTAGTTGTTGTGCACAGATGTTTGCCTTATGATGAGAGCGTGAATTATTGAACTCTGCCCTTGTTTTGTTCTTAATTCTTCTACATCTCGGACTTGTCCAGCCAATACCAACAACTTTCCTTTAAATACGGTTTGTGGTTGGAATTTGATATTGTAACTCTCACAAACCCGGTCTTCAAAACGATACTCATTTCGATCTGAAAACGATATTTAATTTATTACTAGCGATACAGAAACATTTAAATATATTTACTGTTATATAATGAAACCGTTAAAGTAGCTTTTTCTTTTTGTTTTACTGTAAAACTACAACTATAAATGAAGTAAACAAACCCTGACACAATCAAAATTAAACACACTTTTTGGACTTACCTCATTTGATTTGAATGACCAAAATGATTTCAAAACCTTTTTTCCACCCAAATCGTGGTATCACAACAATTTATTAGTTGAAAATATTTGTTATTTTTTCATTTCGATATTTTTTCACAAATATACGACCTAAATGTCAATGTGACAGAACCCACAAAGTTGTGGAATCTATAGATGACCCACGCTGAACTGTCCCACCAAACTCAATGACAGGGGGGCGCTACCATCGTTCAACTATATGGTTTCCAACATGGCAAAAATCTGAACCAGCGATCCGGTATTGACGGTGGCGCCCCACTGTCAATGACATCGACAGGACAGTCCAGTATTTTGGAACTATAGTTGGCGCTGTAATCGTGCACGGAGCCAATACCGTAAGAATTCATATTGCGTTGGCCGTCACCCGCACGTTTTGTCTTTCCTGTCACATCTTTTTAAGGAAAAATCCGTTCACAGTTCGTGCTGGGAATAGCGGTCATTCGGCCGACACTTTTAAGGAGAAGGGCACTCTGGGGAAATCTGCACACCCTCTCTGATAATAGTGTTTGCTCATTTGAGTGTTCTCCTGCCGGATTGTGTTCCGTGGTTAATGGTGCGGGGGAGAACTTACTCTTAAGACGAGTGCAGGAGAACGCTTTTCTGGCTGAGATTTTGTGTCAATCTTTAATGCCTGAAATTTTTTTCTGATAAATCTGTTTCTCTCGTTCATGATTTCTTTCGAGGAGATCAAGAGAAACAGTACCTAATTTAAAGAAATTTGCAGTACGTTCTGCAGAGTCATAAGAAATTTTTTTAGTAAACTTTGAAAGAATTTCTGAAGCAGATGTGGCATTCATCGGTCGCCTTCAGGTTTAACTAAACTGCTCTACGGGCCAACATTGCGGACATAATCGTCCTAGGGGCTCAGCGCTCGAAAACGTTGATGATGGAAGTTCAACTTATTTAACTTACAAGTGCTAAGCTTTAGAATAGAGTTCAATTATCTTGTGTGTGATTATTAAAATAAAATTATTTTATATGAACGTATTTATTTGTCTTTTAGCGAAGGTAGAGTTAAAGGGTTTCTTCCCAACAAACGATAATCCTGATTAATGGATGAAGTATTTTGAATTTATTAATTAAATAGAACACTTGAATTAATTCATTAAATATAACAGTTTACTATATCGAGTTAAAGACATAAAACCCGAGCGTACCGCTCGTGTAGAAGCCCCCTTATTAATGTTACCCTGTTGCCGGGTGCCGGTCTATCGTTTTAGCCTATCAATAACACATTTGTGATTGGTTGTTGGTAATTGATACAGTAATTATTACTAAAACAATTTGTTGGTGGATTTCTTGGTATAGAAACGAGTTACTTATCCAATTTAGTCGATGTTATATTTAGCGTTAACTGCTTGTTTGTGCCTGGAAACAATTCAGTTTGCTTATTCAAAGCAATGTTTGATACTCTAACAGAATCTTTATTTAGGATAACTACAATTAATATGATCCGGGGGATAGAGAGCGACGTTTTTTAAAACCATAATAAACTGAATAAGAAAATCAAATCAAACATTGATCATTTTTCTTTAGCTAACGAATGAGTTTCAACGATTAGCTAATTGGTAGGTACTTTAGTTTTTATACTTAGTCTATTTTATATGTAAAAGCAGCACAACAATTAAGTAAACAATTGGAGAGTTAGCTCAATTTCCAAACACTGAAAATGTAAAAAATCTTTGTCAATGTGCATACGATTGGTTTAATACAGTTTAAACGCTGCAGTCGTCGGCTGCGTCAATGATACCGCAACATCGCTGCGGCGCGCGATAGGGCCACAATAAAACACCTTATTTTTGCTCCAATAAGTTTCGCCTTATTGAAATTCCAACATTGATCTGAAAAAGTAATTAGTGTGACTTGACGTTTAAGGTTTGAAATTCCTCACGATTCTCCAAAATCGTGTTTAAGTATGTAAGTTACAGGAAATGTAGAGACGAATAATTTAACGGCTGCTTTTCTCAGATTTGTTTTCAGACGAGAAAACCGAACATTCGTTTATTTTATTGTAGTTAGAAAATAAGAATTAAATAAATTAATGTATGTGGAATTGGGATAGTTTAAAAGTAACAGAATTGTTTGGTAAAATAGTCATTTATTCATAAGACTAGATTTATATCATTAAATGAATTTTCATCTAATTAAGTAGATTAGCAGTAAGAAATATCTTAATTAAAATTCAAACGAGCAAAATGAAACTTATAGGATTGTCTTCATTAAGCTTCAATATCAATAGTTTATTTACCTACAAACGTTGCGTCGTTATTAATAAAATATTTATAACTAATTACATTAATTCAATACACTTTGAAATTTTACAACTAGTGATTAGAAATAGGCAAAGTTTACAAACTTGAGAAAAAAGTTAATGTTAAGATTTACATTACAAGTCAGTAATAGAAAAGAGGATACGCGACAGGATGAACTTAGTGCGTATTATTAATAGTAAGTCTACTATCGGCAACAGTGTTAACTGCCCATTGCCGGTCATGTCGTCTCGTTCTATCGCAAAGAATCACCATTTGATGAGAGCGAGAGCAAAAATGGAAATGGATAGTTAACACTGTGGACGTGTGTACATAACCTTCGAAAAAGTTGTAGAGTTATATAACGTACTTAATATCCTTACCGTAAGGACCTTACGTTATTATAGGAGTATTAATTATTAATGCAATTATTTGGTATTTGCAAAAGCTCGTCCAATCACATGATCAAACTTAGAAAGCTTAATTATGTCCAAATAACTAACTAGATTGCTTTTAGCACGATGAATTTATTAATTGACTCACTTGACTTCATACTCATTTGTTGTGGGCTAGAATATTCTAAATTCATTTGTTTTTGCCTAACTTCAATTAAATTATTCAGTACATCACTTCTGCATCATACTTCTAATCCAGGGCAGATACTGGTAGACATTGGTATACAAAGAAGGTACGGAGGTCCCGCAAGGCGCGTCTGCCCTCTTCCCGCTGACCACCCCTGATACGAAATACCTCCCTGCGTACATCATCATTAGCGGCCCTCCGGAGTCGCCTTTGCATGTGTCCTCCCCGGTGTACCCGGCTGCGCAGACCTGCATCCTCGTTAGGCCCGGGTAAGCGCTCCTGGAATAAGGATGGGTAGATGTCGATTTATCGATAAACGTATTACCTACCTACAATTGGACCCATTTATGCAAACGGGAACCAACCCACAGTTTGAGTGAAATTGAGTTAAGTACATAGATGGCGCTCAAATAACGCATTCTATCTTGTAAAAAAATTTGGTTCATTTACAACGACTAACAACAGAGATACAGCACTGTCACTTGCGGAACCAACCCGCTTTGGCCAACTTTTAAAAAACTATAAAGAACTAAACAGCATGGTCCCTAAACACTTAATTAAACTAATTATGCAAACCAGAACCAATGTTGGTTGGTTCCATTTAGCAAAAATAGTTACAATTTTTTTATAAATAAACAGAACCAAAGAGTTTTGTTCTTGTTTGAATAATGCAAATTAGGTTAGTCTTGAAGGAACCATATAGCATAGTTCTTATTCTCGCAAAGGATGATGGGCATATTGGGCGTTGAACCAACAGAAACAAAAAGTATACTAAATTAAAGCTTAATACTAGTACTTCATTTCATAGTATGACAACAATCCTGAAATACGCGGGGATACGGCGATAGAGGTCGTTGAATATGCAAAGTTTCCATAGTATTTCACATCACATTAGGGTAATAAAAATAGTATTAGGTCAATTAGATTGCTTTTATCGATCATATTGAGAGTATTGTATCATATCTTACTATCGATTCTATCGATTTAGTAAGTATGTATACCGAATAAATCATAATCGATTATTCGATTGCAATAATCGATTATATTGCTGAAAATAAGGAATTGAATTAACAATCAAATGATAGTAATGATGGTAATCAATAAAATCGATTAATCGAATTGTTAATCGATAAATCGTTATTTGGCAATATCGATTAGTAATCGATCCGTGATCGATTATGCGACAACTTTACAACTTAACTGGTAGAAATCCCATTGAAACATGACTGTGTTCATGTCATTCCTCTAAATGGTACCTAGGTATGGTCCTACGCTTATAATGTAGAGCATGGTTTAAATATACCATTTGTTGGCCCCACTCCTGAACTGTTGGACATGATAATAGATAAATAACTTAATGTATTTAAAATGTAAGTAGATAAAGTATATTAATTAATAATATTTTTTGTTTGAGCAATAAAGCACCTATTACTATTACACATTATGTCAATTTCCAAGCAAACCCGGGAGTTTTTGGTAGTTATTTATATGAAAATATATTTCTGATATTAAGTCCTAACAAATAATAGTAGTTACATTTCTGTTGGTTTTACGCCCAGATTCCATAGAAAAGTGCCCATCATCCTTTCCGCAGTATTTACACGAAAATAAAAGATCCATGTAGCATAGTTCTTAATAGTGTTAAAATTAAGCTTTATTTAAAAATAAAAAATCCGTTCTTATCGTTGCGTTGGTACCTTTAACATAAATGATTTGAATAATAAATTTATGCATTTTAAAACTCTACTCAAGAAAAAATAAAGAGATGAGACGAGGCAGTATGATCGACGACGACTAATAACGACGTTGACAGATCATGAATGAGACGATTCGTGATGACTCTCGAAAAAAGCTTGTAGACATGGCTTAGAAGTGAGATGGGTCTATAATCCTTCAAAAAAGTTTTTTCGCCTTTTTTGAAGATGAGTATCACCATACTTCTGTGCCATGCCGTAGGCGTTTTTCCCTCGAGGATGACGGAATAAAACAGCTTCTGAAGAGCCTTTAGTACCGGCGTTCCTTTCAGAAGCTCAGCCGTGATTCCATCATCAGTCATCACCCTGTGCCTTGTTGTTTTTCAGCTGTTTGAGAGCCATTCTAATCTCGTACAGCCGGGATATCTTCGGTATAGTGTCGGGTCAATCTAGCTCTTGGGTCTTCGGCTAGATTTGTGACAGGTGTACGTACAACTTCCGTACGTTCCGTATAACTTCTCAACCTCTTCCAATAACTCAGATCCCAACGAGATGTCTCTGCCATCCTCGGTCTTCACCTTGGTTTGTAGGCTTTGGCCAACAGGCAGATCTCTTGCGAATACTTTAGAGCTCTTGTTACGCTCAATCGCTTCTTTTATACGGTCTGTATTAAATTGGCGTCGGTCGCGAGTCAAAGATTTGGAAATCTGTCTGTTAAGACGCCGATACTGAGCAGCATCTTCAGAGGACTGCAGAACCAAGTTTCGTCTCTCTTCCATAAGTTTATTGGTGAGGTCAGAGATCTTTTTGGTTCCTTTTTAACGACGGGTTTCAAAGAACTTAGACCAAATAATTGTCCACACTACTGGTCGTTTGGACAATTTCTACAAACCTGTCATTGAATTCGTCCACATTTTCGCAGTCTCCTAGGCATTCAAAACGATTTTGCAACTCGAGCTGAAAGCTTTCGGGTTTTAGTTGGAAGGGCGCTGGGCGGAGCGTAGACTTCATCAGTCTTGGGTCTGATATTCAATGTGCCTCTTACCATTCGGTGATCACTTCCTGTTTTGACCGAGTTGATCACAGAGACATTATTGAATATATGCTTCTTCGTCAACAAGATGAAGTCGATCTCATTTTTTATAGCGCCATTAGGATGCAGCCATGTCAACTTTGTCTGCTTTGGCTTCCTGAGAAAGGAGTTCATCATAAAGAGGCTCTCCCACTCCATAAAGCCAGCCAGCAGTCGGCCACCTGCGTTTCTCTCTCCGTACCCAAATAGCTCCACTTTCAGCTCATTATCGGTTCGTTTACCCAGCTTCGCGTTGAAGTCCCCCACCATAACGGTAAAATGGGACCGGGAGTATGTATGGCTCTGAAAAGATCCTCATATGTACATATTCTTCTCCACTTCGTTGTCGGGCTGTTCCGTGGTCGGTGCGTATACCTGTATGACCTTCAGCCAATACCGTTTGGTGATTCTGAGTATAAGGTACGCTATCCTCGCCGAAACACTTTCGATCAGGACCACGTTGTTGACAAGGGACTTGTGGACGATAAACCCGACACCACCCTAGGACTGCTGGTCGCCCTCCCGGAAATAGAGCAGATTTGAGGATTATGGTGTCCTCCCCCTCTCTTCGGACTTCACATAATCCTACGATATCCCACCGCAACCTGCTCAGTTCTCCCTTGAGTTGGGCGAGCCTCATGTCAGTCCACAGTGTGCTAGTGTTAAAGATTGGCCAGAGGTCGTCGGATTTGGTAGCCTGGCATTATCCGGTGTTTTTAGCACCCGGGGACTAGGGGCCGTGTCTGTTCCCAACCATATAGGGGGGGGGGTTTGCCTTAATAGCCACGCTTGGCAGGCGGGTTGGCGATCGCAGTGTTTTTGTAAGGTTTCGCACGCAGACGCTGCTGCCCGTCTGGCGCTGCAGGGCTTTTTGTCACGACTCCTGTTGGCTGACTTACTTTAGCCTACAGGAAAAGCTATATCTGAGGCTAAACTAACCGAATGTTAAAATTATTCTGCATTTTATACCAAAACGACACACACGATTTCCACAAAACCATGAAAAGTAGCAACATAGAAGACGAAGTCGACGGTTTTACCGGGCCTATCGATTTTGAGGTAGAAGGCGATAATAATAGTGATTTTAGTTTTAAGGGTTCGTGATTCCATCGTATAATTTTCGTATTAAATGAAAGATAATGATTCACTATTCTAATAAATGGCATTAAAAGCTATATTTTATATAGAATGACTTTAATTTTTAGAAATATCACAACAAGAAATCTTACATCCGTTTTGCAAGAAGGAACTAAGCAACAAAATATGTTTTTGCAAGAAAGAACCAACCGGTTTTTAACGATTTACTTTATATTATAACTTTATAAAATTTATAAATCTGATATTCCTAGATAGGCTGCAGTATCCCACATAAGACTAACAAGTAATCATTCATTAATATATTATGTACGCATTTTGCAACATTTGTTTACAAAAGTCTCGTTTTCTCGAAACCACCCTGCTGTGGGTTGGTTCTTGTTTGCATAAATGGGTCCAATTATATAAAAATGAGCGATATCAAACGCGAAGCTCAAGACCGAACGCGATGGAGGACTGTTGTGGACGCTCTCTGCCCCATCTAGGGGACATAGGACCTTAAGTCAAAGTAAGTAATTACATAAAAATTAAAAAAATATGTGCAGAAAGAAATAAGAGTAGAGTCAACAGCACATCATATTGCATTTTTGTTGCACCTTTTCCAATTAGGTACATAATATGAGTAAGATAAAGTAACTTAATAACATAAGTAACACTGTGGTGTTACATTTGATGTGCTGTTGTCTGTACTTTTTCTTATCAAACATTTTTTAGCCTGTTTTAATTGATTCTGTAATCTGTACTAAATTAATTGTTATGTTAAGAATATTAAATATGACATGAAAATAAGAATAAGTAACAAAAGACTTTAACGACTTTTCCCCCAGAGAAATTAGTGAGAGCAGAAAAGTAATTTTACTGACACAAATTAAAAACGATTTGAATTAAAAATTAAAATTAAAGAAGTTTATGTTAATAAGAATTCCACTATGAAAATCTATATAAAGTCGAATAGATATTTCATCAATTATATCGAACTAATCGATATCGATGTTTCCACCGGCATCCATACCTGCAGTCGCTTTGAGGCACCAAGTTGACGACGGTGGATTGTTTGATGTTCGACTTGTACTGCCCGTTGCGTCCCCAGCCGGCGACCGCGAGACGCAAGTTGGACAGCTCTGGGCTGTCTACGTTGATGGGCGGCAGGCAGATTGGGCGGATGTAGTCTGAAAATAAATAATAATACAATAATAATCGTTAATTATATCTAATTACACTGCGTAATGAAGAAGAATGCTGCTGGATGCAGGTCGTTCCCAATCGGCTAAAAGGATCATTAGAGGGACCTATGATCATCGATGGCCGTCCTATGGTTGAATACTTAAGCATCGTGCACGATAAAGACTTTCTGTTACGAAACGAAAATCACACAGGTGAAGCCACAGGCATGTAAAAACTATCAACAAACACTTTTCTTTCATGTGATATTTTTAAGTTCAGGTATAAATGCGTTTAACTATGTAACATATTATGTACAAGTATGTTTTCTTTTTCGATCTATCGAATTTCGTTTGCTAGTATACCTTGGAAAGCTTGAAGCATTCCATAAAGCTGCCACAACCTTAAACCGTATTTCAATTATTGCCTAACATATCAGGAAATCTCAAGAGGTAAATGGAGCATTACAAAGTTGTGTAACGTAGGTACATACTGTTCTAAATTTTACATTACGATTATCGGGATAATCCCGGGAATGCTATTGGCTCGGGGATGCTTAGCAAAAGCCGCGGAACAGGCCACAAATCCAGTTAAACACACGCTTTGAGTAAGCCACTTAGCGTTGCACTAATTGGCTTTCTTCTGCTAACTTTGGAACGCTCTCAAGTTCCCGCTGGTATGCTAATTTTAACAACAATGCTTAGAACGTGAGGTAAAACAATTAGAAAAGCAATTGAATCAATGGTAACTTTACGGTAGCAGGGTGTGTTGGTATTTTAGTACTTAATGTACCTATCCAAATTTTATTGTCTGTGAAACTTTTTTGTCATAAGAAAGATTTGGTTGGTATATACAGGGTGGAAACGATAAGTGATCTCACTCGATTATTTCTAAACTATTCAATAATGACATATAATAAATATTCAATGTTACTCATTCTTATTAAATTATTAACACTATAGTAGTTGACCCGTAACATGTATCATTGAAGTTCAAAATCGGGCCCAAAAAGCTCTTTATTTTTACGTTATTATACCAATCTCTACATAGTTATAAACTACGCGGGACTTTTTTACAGCTGCTAGAAAATCATACTTAATTAGATAATATTATAAAATAGGTTCATGCTAACATTTGTCTATATCGGGATTCGAATCCACACAACCGTAGCTGTCATAGAAGTCATAAGTAGGTAGAGCTACTACTTAGATCAGGGATAGTCATTGTGATAATGCACCATTGATAAACAATTTAGGTACGCTAGTAACATCTCAGTTGCAAAACCGGACATATCAACACAAAGCTCTACATTTTCAGTGATTAGTAAAGAAATCATAGAAAACACGGACTTACCGGTATAAGGCGCATTGCCACGAAGTCTTATCAATGCGATGTCATTGTGAAGCCTGTTGTCGTCATACTCAGGGTGTAAGTGGAGATTTTCCGCGTGCATCACTATGTTTTCCACACACACTTGTCCTTTCCCCAGTACATTCTTACAGTCCTTAGGGAAGGTCCGCTTGTCGTACTCCGCTAGGTATATCTCGACGCTGAAACATCATATTAATTTGATAATACTAATAAGTCGCCAGTAACTACGATATGTCATCATAAGCTATGCATTGCATTAAGCTTGGCCCAGCTGGGGCTGTAAAGTTTTGACTTTGAATAATTATTATAGTACGTAAATATGTAGACGGACTGCCCATAAATTACGCAAAGCATTACCCTTGGTAAAAAAATCTAGATTGATCTTGAATGTAAATTTTTACCGAGAAAATATTTTAGCATATTTTTTCGGCACCAAGAATAGGCTCCGACTAAAGTGTGACCTAAAAACGTTATCATGTAAATTCCACTTTTCCCTAAAGTTGAAAGATTTGGAATTTTGGATTAAGCTTCGGCCCCGGGAGAAATTCCTGGAGCATTAGGGCTAGAACAAGAAAATAGAGTCAGTCGTTTGGGACGCCCTGTTGTCAAGCCCCAGATAATAATGTTTGTCGAGAGATGGAAGGAATTTGAGTATCTTTAGGCAACGTTTTAGTTCTGTGTTTGAGACCTTTTGAAGTAAGTAGGTACCTATGTATTTTTTATACAATCTAGCTCTACATAATATTATGCGGAGTGCTATTTAGGAGTATTGAATCACTTTTTTTTTATATTAAAAAGAAGTATAAGGATATTTTGTGAGCTGGTATTTACAATATTTAAATTTTTAAGTTCGTTTTATTCGGTTTTGTCCGAGTTTTGATACACGGAAAATTCCATAACTTGAAGGTATTAAGTGTAACATAGATTTATGCTTATTTATTGTATTATGGTCTTGATTTTTTTTACATTTTAAACTATGATTGATAGCATTAGGCCTAGTTCAGACACAGTGATAATCGCGGGTTTGCTGGGCGGTTTTCGTATATTTGCATCAAACCGTAACTGCATGGTGACCACCTCAGTACCTCGCCAAGAAACCTCCCAGAAACCGCGCGGTTATCGCGCGTGTCTTACCAGTCTTAAAGGTTTTATAAACTTGTAAATAAAGGTGTAGGATTGGACTTAACGGAATTGTAGGAAAAAATTACTTACTCTTTAACGGTGCCCTTGCTATCAACAATACAGTGTCCAGCTGTGAGCACGTAGCGAGAGCTGATGAGGGAGCCGCCACAGGAGAAAGCAACCTCCTTGTCGGGGTACACGAATATGGTCTTCAGCAGAACGGTCCATGGAAACTGTTCGAGCTCTGTTTCTTTGCCACCTTTAAACAAAAATAGTAGGATTTAGTTCTAACAAAATGCAAAGGTTTTATTACAAAAACCTACATTATTAGTCCCTTTTTAAGTCAAATAAGCTGTAGAACTTATAACATATCAAGCAGTTTAATTGTGGGTAGGAATAACAAAGTAATGTAAATTAATGAAGCCTCCTTAACCATTCTGGCCACCGTGGGGAGTGTAAGCCAAGACCTCCATTTGCCTTGGTAAAATAAAAAGGGTTGTGCTCCTATAGTGGAGATAAAAAAGTAAGTTTTTTCTTGTGTGAGAAGTTGATATCTACAGATAACTTTGGACATGATTCCAACGAGGAAATGAAAAAGCAGTCTAAGTATTTTTGCAAGTTGTTTACTGGTAATTTCATTAGAATAAAAATAAACAAGCAACATCAAAGTGTCAACCGAAAGCCGAAAATTCTGCCGAATCCAAAGCGAATCTTATTACAAGTCCCGACTTAGAAGTAATATGTTAATATCGGGGCCCTTTTCTGTCGTTTAGTGTTCGAGAAATTGGAACGAACATTTTCTATATTTTTATTGGGATAAGTTCAAACAGATTATAGCCGAAGATATTTGAAACATTTCAGTTAAATCCACACGAAAATATAGTCCTATTTTTGGAGATACTCATCTTAATCCACTTTATAAGATACTTACGTTAATATACTTAATGTAAAATGACCTAAGGACTGAGCATATTACAGGCAATAAGGCAAAAAGTATCTTATTTTGATGAAAGTCAGTAGGTAATTTATGATGCAAAGAAAAAAACCTACCTAAAAACTATATTATTATCTAAATGTAATTCATGCCAGACTTATTTTGTAGTCAATCTTCAATTCAAATATTGAACTAATTAGTAATTAAGTCAATCAATTACCAATTTATTTCATTACCTATGTACAACCTATACTCATTGTACAATTTTCTCTTTGACAAATTAATTTAGTTAGAGATTTTCAAACACAAACCTTGGCCATGAAAGCGTACAATTATGGAACCACTCGTAATTTACCTGCAATACGATTGTCCAATGTAATGTTGACATCTTCCCTTTTGACTCTATCAGACTGCGGCCAGAGAGGCCGAGACCCCCGGCTTGGCTGGTTCCTGTGAGGCGCCCAGTTTGATTGTGGGTACCCATTTGCCGAAGCTGTAGAAAATAATAGAATTAGAAAACTCTACTAATAATATCAACATTAGGTAAGACGGTAAGACTAATATCATACCAATAAGCCCTATAAGAAAATTTTATATAAAAGCTTCATGATTTATTGACTTGAGCTTAAAAATGATGAAGCCAGGTTTTATGATCGTAACTTACTACTTATAAAAGGAGTAAGTATTGCTAATTTGAAGAGTAAGTAACTAAATACCCAGCTTCGAATTTAATTTCTACTTAAAAGGATGGCTGCCTCTAAGTGAGTTAGTAAATTATTGTGCATCAACTTAAGAGCGTTGTAGCAAAAAGTTGGCGTTCGAATTTTAGGTTTTTATTGCTTGACGTCGCGTAGTGAGTGCGCAAACTGCATTTATCTGTACAATTTCAACGCTGCGTCGACTAAACGATCTTAATCCGTAGTTGTATCGTACCTAAGACAGTACATCATACATAATAATAAAGGAATAATGTATAATTTACCTATTTGATTTTTTCTCAGATCAGACTTTTAGCAAAATTAAGTTACGTAATTAATGTATTTTTTACACTAGTAAATCCCGCGACAAGTTTTTAATCTTTAAATTGAGTAAAGTAATAAGTTGATGGGTTTGAAAGAATTTATGTTTTATTTTATTCTTTTTACAGCATCAAAAGCTTGTTTATGAAAAATATTTACTATTTAAATTTTACTTTTGACTTTAGCTTTTATGATGCGGGATGGAAAAATTAAACTTTTTCTGATTTTGTGACGTTTCCGCACATAAATATGGATAGGTTAAATAAACAGAATGAAATGTATGAAAACGAGCGTGCCATTTTTTAAACGTTATCTATAATATCTGTGTCGATCAAAGAGCTCGTAACTAAACATCGTAAGCACCATTCACATTATTATCTAAAAGTTAATAATAAATATTTAGTTTTTGTAAATCTAAACAAGTCAGGAAATCAAAGAGGTAAATACTGATATCATTGTGATTTTATAGAATTTATTATTATAAACCACGGTCGTATAATGCTAAAAAATCAGAGGTAACTTTAAGATTTTTATCCATAGAGCAAAATTTATCTAATCGTGTTTTTAAACAGTTATCCCATTAGGTACACATGCGTTCTGTAATACAAACCCATCAAAAACAATACTTGTCAAAAAACCAAGTCTCACTACTCAGTTGTTCTACGGTAACTTCGCGTCCACGTATATCGAGTACGAACGTTTTGTTTGTCCTGCTTATTACCTTATATGGCCCTTCGTAGGGCTGTTGCAGAGGAGCTTTAACAGCGTCATTCCTTACAAATACATGACTGGACGACAGCAAATCTTTGAAACAGAAAGTACTCTTAATGCCATGGCGCGTGCCGTCGATTGGCGATCCATGTAATACCAAGTCCAGTCCAGGAAATCATTAACGTTTTACATAAATATATTGACTTGGCCATCGCATGAAAACACGTGTAAATTAAATTATTTAGTGCGAAATGAAACGAAATTTTGCATGCCTGTGTAGACATGCAAAATTTCAGCTCAATGGGAAAACGGGAAGTAAGTAAATTTTAAGTTGCAAGATTTTACAACTCCAGATGTCAAAGAAAATAAAAGCTTGTAGATAGCTTTACAAAGAAAAGAAAGATTTATGAAGAAAATAAAAAGTACTGTCTACGATACATTTGTTAGGCCGTGTTGCACCGTCTTACTTTAACATTGACATCAAAATTTTGGATGTCAAAAATCTGTCTAACATAAAACACCGGTTATTGTCAGTTAGGGTCAAAGTTAGGTGGTGCATCTCAGCCTTAGTGTATTTTAATTAAATTTAATACAAATAAGGATGACGAAAATAATCGATAAGTGATCTCACTCGAATATTTCTTATAGTAGGTATACAAGATGTCGAACAAATGGTTACTTACTGAAAAAGTGCTTCATGAGACCTAGCAAACGGCATCAATAATATGTTTAAGAACGAACTGAATCTATTCAAAAAACCTATATTTCCAGCTTTCATACATTTAATACAGTTACAAACAAACACGAAATCAATGGTTTCTGAGAATTCTGAGTGCCTTAATGCCGTCCCCTTTATCTGTTTATTTAGTATTTATTAATTAGTATCTCTTGATGATATTGTAGCAAGTTAAACCTAAAATCATGTTTTCCGTAAATAATTTAAATAAGAATGCAATTTACGAGTTTGTTGTTTGATTATTATATATTACTCAATTAAAAATTTAAATTTAAAAAATTAACACTTCTAATATGGTAGGTATGGCTGGCGGCATACATTTAGTATGAAATTCGGAAACATTGAATTTTCGCATAGATCCAGTTTATTCTTTGACCTATTTATTGTTATTGTTTTAAAGAGCTCATGAAGCACTTACAGGAACAGTAAACAGTTTCTCGATATCTTGTATAATTAAAAATCAAGTGAAATCACTTATCGTTTCCACCCTGTACCTATACTTTTAAAAATAAACTCATTTTATACGTTCATTTGTATAAGTATCTACAATACAAATACCTAACCAACTTAGTTGACGTTTTATAAAACTATTTGTCTAAGTGTCATCGAGCGACCGCTGGTGGATTTGCCATTTACCTGACCTACCCCTTTATTACTAAACGTTTAATATCAGATGAATAGTTACGCACCAATTTCTTTCATTCAGTCGTCAGTAATTGAACTTTCGGAAAAACATGACGAAGCGTTGTGTGACCATACAGACGCTATTCAACTTTTATTAGTAAGGAAGAGTATATTTTATGTTGGTAGAAACACAATAGCATAGACTAATGTTTTGACACCCTGTTAAAATTTTTATTAGTCATTTATTTTTTCCTGACCAAACAGATACCATAATAATATCTTTTATCTATTCTACCCATATTCTGTAAGTAAAATAATAAAAAGTTTGAAAAGAAAGAAATTACAAGTCCGATTTACCTAAACAAATAAATTAAAAATACTTGCGGATCAAAAGTACTCAATCATACTACAATTTACGAAAAAATCACGCGTGACGCATATACGTCAGTGGGCAGTCAACTGACATAGACCCGGCGTCTACGAGTGCCAAAGCACGACTGATTTATGCCATTTGATGCACCCGATTTTATAGTATTTTCAAATTAATTTTTCATTTGAAGATTGAAGATAGATATTTTTTCTTTTTCACACAATAATAGTACTATGTTTCTTCTTAAGTATAAAGTAGTTTATGTTGCCAAATGACTTTTAGATTATGAGATGTGACCTGTTTTCTTGCAGTAATTTTCTCGAATTTTGACTATCTTAGACATGATAAAAATGCATTTTAATGAATTAAACATCAAAATTTTCTCAATACACTTTCTTCTTCAGGGTATGCTTATTTTAATGAATACATTCTATCTTCTTACTTAGAAATAAATTTGTTGTAATATTAGTTCAAAGTTGTGCCTTCGCGAGTTACCTGGAAATCGGGCTTTCGAAATTCGCTGTTTTCGTAGGCAAAAATCCAATTTGAACGACATTTTGTCAATAGACATTCCGTAAAAACGTATGATAATTACGATGATATAAGTCAAGAGAAGCTATAACAATAAATTATATGACTAAAATCATTTCGAAATCTGCCAAATTCTCGATTTCTGCATGAAAAATGTGACAACGCTCTTAAAACACTTATTTAAATTAATTGAGGGGAGCGCAGAGATCCCTTTGATGCGTAAGCAGAGCGGCACAAATAAAGTCCCGACGAATGAGTTATTTAAATTCCAAAATTAGGACTATATGGGGTGACATCCGGTTATATTAAATTTAAGAGTGAGGTATCGGTACGGCTAGCACGAAAAACTTTCGAGTTCGAATCGTTTTGGTATTCGAATCGCCATCAAAAGATTTAGTACCCACGAAAACTGCAACAGCGCCCTTGTGAACGTGTCGTAAAGTGAACTTAGTATGAGAAATGGTTGTACGAAACTTATTTTGAGAACCAAAATTGTCACGTTATCGTTTAATTCAAAGGCCGAGTATCGAATTTTGTCGAATACGCAAACGATTTGAAGACGAAAGTTGTTCATGCTAGAGGTACGGGACTCACCGGCGTCGCTGTCAGGGTCCGTCGCCTCCCGCCCGCAACATCCCGAGTCGGGATCCGGCGGGAAGCTCGTTACGGGACACTGTCCACCTAAGTTTGTTCCCGTAAGAGAATTATCCTTCCTGTTCGCCGGCAGAAAGTACGGATTCTGCGCGTTCGCGTTATTGTCAGGACCCTTCCCGCGGCGCATTTCGAATCCGTTATCGTAAGGGTTACCGTTTTGGTTACCTAACTGATTACCAGCACTGTTCCCATTGCCAAAACCTTGCTGGCCGCCCAAATTGCCAGCGTTCAAACCACCATGCTCATTGTCATTCTCATAAACTTGGTAGCCGTTTCCATTAGGCCCTGGATTGTCGAACTGGTTGCCAGTCAATCTTTGGTTACCAAATTGGGGTAATGGGGTATTGGTGTACTGGCCACCAGTATTTGGGTACTGGCCACCAGTATTTGGGTACTGGGCACCAGAATTTGGGTACTGGGCGCCAGAATTTGGGTACTGGGCACCAGTATTTGGGTACTGGGCACCAGTATTGGGGTACTGGCCACCAGTATTGGGGTACTGGCCACCAGTATTGGGGTAGCCTTGGAAACCAGGATTAAACTGGTTACCAGTAAAACCGTTTGGATAACCAGGATAAATCGGTGAATTGAAGTTCGGTTGGTTAAGGAAACTATTTTTTTCCATTTTCACTGGCTGTTCTGTTGTACTTGTACTGGAGATTTGTTTGGGTCGCTCGGTAGAAGAAGGCTGTGGTGATGGGTTCTCCACTTGCCACACATTTTCGGGACAGCATACCTGTAATAAATTAAATGTTTGGTTGTATTGATAAATCTGAATTTGTTATCTAAAGGTTGTCTAATATACATTTTGTGTACCTACGTATATTATACAGGCGGAAAACGAAACCAGTTTACAAATAAAATATTGATAAAGTTGAAGTAATTTTAGATTTTTCAACCTAACATCTATTCGGTACAATTTGTTAGCGATTGCAGTGTAATATTTAATTTTATAAATACCGGATCATTCAGATATAAACCTGTAAGTTTGACCTTTATTTTACGACGGATTACATCTGAGCATAAATAATTATAATTTTTTAACGACGACTTATTAAAAGTAAGGAATTTGAAATTGTATGTATAGAATGGGGAAACCTTGAAAAACACGACTACGATGCACTCCGCACCCGCAGTTTTTAACATTACTATTTGTATGTTGCCTGAAAACAATTTCAGTTTGTTAAATTAATAATATTTCGTACTTAACGCGATTATTAAGTGGCGAGTCCCGTTCGTACGAAATGTTTATTTATTAAACCCGTTTATCATTTGGTATTTCGGCAGAACGATGTATAAATGACACGTTCATTTTGTGATAAATCGCGGGAATGGTACGAAATTGCAGTTTTAATACAAAAGTGAACAAATTTAAACAGTGTTTAAAAGCAATTTACATTGCAAACAGGAATTAATGAAACGGCGAAGTTGGGTAGTGTTTTAGTGCGGTTTCACCTCAAAGTGTTTCGCTGAAAGCGATACGCTTTAGGAATTTGGACAGAATTAGATACTAAAGGTCATAAAACTCATTTATTTTATAAAAATAGGCTTTTAAAAAATTTAACTCTTCGATTGCTTCGAGACAATTAATCGGCCAGTGCTGAAACTCAGTCATTTTACTTTAGGCAGTCACTTTTGTCAGCCGCTGTTTGAGTGTCTAACAATAAAATTATAACTTTGAATGATATTGTAGTATCGCTAGCGTTTAATTGAATAAAGGTATCATATTTAGAATTCTAACACCCGGCTGGAGCGAGCGGCAAACAAAAGCTTGATAATGTTGACAACTCATTCACTTCTGCGGCGCGGGACCATTCAATATTACAGCGCTTTTGGTGGGTTTAGTTGTCATTTAATTTTGAAACTAATAGCCTGAAATTTAGGGCTATGAAGTGTTAATTCAGTAATTTGTATTTATAATTTTATATGAATTTTTTGTCTATTTACTGTAAACATCCACTACTAGCTACTTAGATAAGAATCTACTGAAAAATTACACAAATCATTCATGTGTTAACATTAACATTTGCGCCTAGCGGGATTCGAACCGGCAACTGAACTGGTATCGTTAACCACTAATGCAGATGACAGTCACAACTATCATAATTTTTAAATTAATTACTCAGGCATTTAAAATAAAATTATACAAACCAGATCTCCTTTAGCTGATGAGGAAAATCCATAGATAGGTTTGGTATTACTAGAAGCGTCTTCACAGTCATATCTCTCCCGCCAGTTGGCTTGGTCCGCCTCAGAAAGGTTCTTGAAGAACGGACAGTTGTCCATTGGTTCACACGTTTCACATGATTCTGAAACAAAAGTTTAGGCTTGGTACAGCAAAACATAGAACATTTTGTTGAAGTCAAATTACGATTCAGAACAAGTCTGGATTATTATTTACAGGAATTGACATATTATTATAGTAATTTGTGCGATTTCGTATTATGCATTTAATAAAGTATGAATCTTAAACTAAAATGTTCGAATCGACTCGTACATTAGTACCGACTGCATTTAAGTGCCTTTAAAAAAAAACTAACCAAACTTATAATTTTTTAATAAATATTTTTTCATACACAATCACGTAGTAGGTAGAGATTTAAGTATTTATTTCAGTACCTACTACGATTTCTTTTGAAAATAAGTACATATATTTAGCATTTACAGCTAAACTGAAAGGATCATTACAAGCGAATAGCAACTAGCAGGGTTGTTTTGACATTGAAAATTTCAAATATCACAAACATTTTCAAAGCTTCTCATTCTGAAAATTATGCAAATAGCGTGTTTTCATTAGTATTCGTAAGCAGTTTCCAATTAATTTGTATTATTCGATAGTGCCTATCTATACAAACAGACAGGCTTCTAATTTTGAACGTGACCTACTAAGGTTAGGCTGTTTGCCAATTAAGTTTATTAATTAATATTTTGTTTATAGCTAAAACACCGAAGTTTGAATTAAATTACTATTTTCGTATGGTTTCAATATCGAAAATCATTCTAAAATATTTGGGTATCAGTTATTAATTGTAAATGTTTGATTATAAGTTCTAAAAGGGTAAAGGCTCAGTTTCAGTTCTAAAAAGGTAACAAACTGAAATTGAAACACTTGAAATTGTCGACACTATCACAAAATGGACAAAAAATATCAACAAGCTACTCCAGTGCTTTTGTGCCAGTTGAAGTTTATGCTTTTTTGTGTCCAATAAAAAAACTGAATCATTTATTTTATTATAGGCAGACAGTAAATGTACAGTTTTTTAAACTTAACAGATGTTTAATGTGTTTAATCTTTAACTAAGGTTACTTTAATCAAATTAAAGACTTTTAAATGACTTTATCGTTTGTAATTAAGATTTACTTGCCGCATTTCAAAATTATATTGGACATTAATAAATGGTTTCTAATATCACGTGCCAGATTGAGGTAGGTAAGTTTAAGAAAGTCTTTCTAAGCGAGATTTGGATATTTTGATTTTTGATCCAGTTTTGCGAAATTTTTGAAAAAATACCTAGAAGGAGAATAAAAAGATATGAATAAAAATCAATAGGAGTCTGATAGATAAGTAACATATCAAAATACATATAATTTCAGGCTAAAATTATCCAATATTATAAAAATAAAAATGTGTAATAATAGATTCCTATCTATTATAAAATACCTTTATTAGCTGCCTGTGTACCCCACGAAAACAAAAGAACACAAATAAACACACAACACTTCATACTGATTGTCGACCCGATTGAGCCGTCACGGACCACTGCGCTGTCATCGGCCGAGACAAACATTAATGACTACGCAGTCATTATTATAATACCTACCTACCTAATTGTCAAGATGGAGGAAATCTGGTTGTGGGTATTTGCCACTAATTACCTGTTGATTGGACTACCCGTTTAGATGGGGTAATTAGAAATTGAACGTTCGTAGAACAGAAGAAAAGCATGAGTCAATGAAACTTTGCTTGAGGAAACGTTACTGAAAATGTTACGTAATAATTTTCAGCGTTATGTCATAGAATAGATAAATTTTTTTTTTTTGTCGTTTACAAATTATTATTGTCGGCACAAATCACATTTACTTACTACTCGTATAAGTATAATGTCATGATGTGAAACAGGTTTTCACTTTTGTGGTACATAAATTAATAAATTGACAATTAACATAATCAGTTGATAAATAACTGTTTTAAACATAATACCTATAATTTGATTCATTGTCTAGTAATTTTCTGCACCCAGTGTCGTCATAATCTCAGATTGGTTGTGTTTACATTTGAATTTTATATTTTAGATTGTTTTAAGTTCCCCGGGGGGATTTTAGGATTAAGACACCCTGAGGTCTTCTATAAATTTAATCCAAAATGGACAGTTTTGGTCAGGGTCAATAATTATTTTATAAGTGCCATTGACACGAAAAGAGATGTGGAATGGAAAGCTATTCCATGAAATATTTTTACACTAGAATGTATGATCTTTGGTTACTGCACCAAATTAGAAAAACACAAGATAGGTACCTACCTACTAGTGTTATAGAATGATTTATTTATAATATGCTATCGTAGTTATGACGTTAGGTATTAGGTAATTACTTAGGTATTTTGTTATTAGAAGAAGTTTCCTGGAAAAGAATTTAATTTTATATTTAACAAGGATGAGTAGATGGTGAAAGTGATTTGCATCTTTATGCCTGTTCGCAAGTTAAATGAGTTTTCCTGTCTATTTTCCAAACTTCGTAAGAGGGTAACTCACCTGGTTCATATTTATGTGTGTTGTCAAGCGATTTTCTGAACGTATTTTAGTAAGCAGATTATGTTTGAGATTTTAATTTAAGTTGTACTTTACATTTATTATAACGCTCGAGTTTGTTTTGCCCTTTAGAACTGAAAATTGCGTAGGGAATATGAAAACAACGATGTTTTTATTTACGACTCTGTCTGACATTTTAACTTTTTTTTTGGGATAGAAATAAATTCAGTTAGGAATATGAAAGTTTAATCGTAACATTATTGGCGACTAATAGTCTACTTAAAGTAAAGTAATGTTACCGTAATGCTCGTAACAGTTGATTTAAGGGACGTCATCGCATAACAGTAGTACACAAAGATCATTTAGAGAGTAATGATATTTATACCAATTACTTAAATAATCTCGCTTGATAACGAGCAAATACGTTTCAAAATGCGAAATGACCATCATAGGTCCGGATGCAGTAGTTGGGCTAAACAAGGTCCGTGTTTTCGGCTCTAATTTGTCTCTCTCTCTCTCTCTAACCATGATGCTGCCATAAGCGAAAGTGACAGATAGTGCTGAAATACAGAAATCGGGTGACAGACCAGGCCCACTGTCTCGCACTTAATTATGTAGTCACAAAAACGAGCCCCAAACACGGACCTGTGGGGGGCTACTCCGATAAACGTTATCGGAAGTTTCCAATGTTTCCATCTCTCTTACACTAAGCGACATGCCAGCACTAGCGGCGGAGACAGCTGATATACTCGAAATTACGTAAACAGCGTTTTGGTGTAGCCCTGCTGGACGGACGTTTGAACGATGGAATTTTGGAAATTCGCAAAGTGAATTGAATAGCGGCGGTAATTGGCCAGTCGGACGCGAAAACGAAAACGGTTGCGCGAGCCGTGACGATTCTGAAATTCAATTAGCGCCCCGCATTCATGTATTAGTGGAATTACATTTACAAAACTAACCCGCGTGAAGCTTTGATTGCATTTAGTCTACGCGTTTGAACGCTCACACACGTTTCAATGAAATGCAATTTCAGCTTATTTGTTAATTAGAACTAATTCTCTAATAAGGGTATACCTACATTTTCCTGTAGTGTTTGCTAGGATAACGTAAACGGAGGAAGTTAATATCTACCCTAGCTGTTCTGAAACTGCCAGAAGATTTTTGGCCGCAATTTCACGAGTAAATGTCAAAAAGTAAAGCCCACGTACGTGCATACGGGCATTTGAGCTAATTTGCACGTTTCTTCAAGTCAGACAATGCAATACTTAGCACTTTTTAATTAGTTCACGTTTCATAATACGGGTGTATCTGGAAGCGCGCCAGGCGTTTTAAAAGTAAATTAAATTGGCTCCAGGTCCTGCGGGAACAATAGGGAGGGTGGCCAGGGCCCTGCACTCCGAATTTATAAGTCTCACTGCAGTGTTATGCAATGCTGCAAGCTCCCTTACTGATTGATGTTCATGGCGATCCAAAGGGAATTCAATTTTTTATCACACTTGCTATAATGGTAGGTAATCTATCTATGTCTATAAAAGCGAAAGGTCACTGACTCAATCACTCACTCATCACGAAATCTTTGAAACTACAAGTGCTAGGAGTCTCAAATTTTGCATGGGGGTTCCTTTTGGAACGTAGGTGCTTACTAAGACAGGATTTTGCAAAATTCAACCCCTAAGGGGGTGAAACGGGATCCACGCATACAAAGTCGCGGGCGGCCGTTAGTCATGCATAAAAGCAACGTAGCATTAAATATTCTGCAGTTATCATTAAGTACTTTCCATCAGCTGAAATGCAGACCAAGAGCATTGTGGATATTAGGTTTGGCAAAGCAATCTAAACATACAAGAGCGATTTAGATTTCATCTAAGCTGAAGTAAAGCCTGAAAAAGGTTCCTAAGCACAGAGGCTGGTAGGAACATTAACTCCTTGATAAAAGCAAAGTGCTAACAAGATATCCCAAATAATGCTCGTCGTTCGAAGGTGAAAAGGTGATGGCGGAATAAGAGCTTTATAGCATTACTGTTCGTGTGAACGGATATAATCAGCGAAATTAGATTTGCTGTCTGCAGAGATGTAGTAGATAATTCAATTGTATGACTGAATGACTATGCAATTCATTATTGATTTATTAAATTGTGATTTTATTGTTAGGGTCCACACAATATTGACGTAAAAAGATTTAAGGTGAATTAACTTGTAGTCACCGAATTTAATTAGGTAAGTGCCAACGTCAATTTTTGAAAGACCTAAAATCGATGGGGATTTTGAGGTCATTAACTGCATAATGTGATTACTTTTATAAAATACCTCATTTGATGAGATATTGGGTAAGTCTAATGTACCTACTCACGGCCACACTGTTAACTATCAATTTCCGTTTTTACTCTCGCTCTCATCAAATGGCGATTCTTTGCGACATAACAAGACGATATGACATGGATAGTTAACACTGTTGCCGATGGTAGGTACGTCGATTAAACCTATATCACAGTAAAAAAGAAATGATGTAGGTAACTTATCTGTGTTGACGCAAGGTAACTTTATCAGCAATTGGACAACCTCTGACTTCATTATTTCTAAAATTTACCCAGCACCCCGCAAATTATTACATAATAAACCAGTCTCCTCTTAATTTTGCTGACTGGCAACATTCGCTGCGTAGTGCGAACCCATAACATAAAGTCGGCGGCGCAACGATAAAACGAATTCATGTGGACGGACGAGTGACACCGCGACTAGGGTTACCAGATGAAAAAACCAAAAGTCCGGAGAAAAGGCCTAATTTTTATTGAAAAATCCTGAGATTTTGTTGCAGTTTGAGAAGTTTCTATAAAACGTACTGAACTTTTTTTAAAAGTCGCATTAGTATTGTTTTTATACTGAGGATTTCAGGGGACCATGCTCACGCGTAGCCACTTGGATAAATGTGTTAATTTTAATTATGCAATTTTATTACTCAAGTTACGAAGACATTTTTTTATTTAACTTTATATTAAAGAAATCTTTAAAATTTACTGTAACCTATTTCATTAAAAATTCTAAAAATCCTGTCGCAATCCTAAGAACAGTCCAAAAATCCTGAAACCTCAGGACATTTCCCGAAGACTACAATCCGGGCCTTTTCAAGGCAAGAGTGAATAGGCACTTACAGGGCAGATACCATCCTAGACTGCATCCCACTCAACACCAGGTGCGATTGTGGTCAAATACCTGCCTTGTTATGCATAAAAAAAATCCTGAGATATGGTAACCCTAACCGCGACTATCAGCCATCTCGATTCATGCTGGGAGATTTACGGCCAATACCGTGTCACCGTGCCTTTGGGATGTTTTGCATAGATCTGGGGCAGCCATCCTTGCCCGAGTGAAATTCCAGTTATGGGTTCACCCTAAAAACGTTGTGACGTTTTTTATATGGTGTGCGTTTTTCATGGCTTATCTGTTTAGCCTTTTCCTTGAAAAAGTAAAAAATGTGCCTATGTCATGAAAATACGCTCAAAACTTGAGTCAAACTCAAGCGTAGATTTGATCCTGAGATTGCTTGAAATTCTATTCAGACATTCTGATCCTACTTATCTAGTCAAGTCAATATCTAAGTATTCACTCTTGAATATCCCAAATAACAAATTGTTATTGGGATAGACATCAGCATTAACAAAACTGGAAATAGGTACCTACTAGAAATTCATGACATAGTAGGTGAGGTACTTTTACTTGTTACAAATTACAGCATTTTCATGACTAACACTATCAAAACATAATATTATTGAACACCTAATTGGGTTTGTGTGTTTACATCATCGATGAATTTTTAACCTGTTTTGCAAGTGATAAAATTATACCTAATGAATAAATTAAAACGAATGACACATTTTTGTTTGGGAATTTTGGATCAACAACACAAGTTTTTAAAAATAAATAACAAAAACATTAGGTTGTTAAACCTGATGTGCAATCAAACCGGAATCTAAAGTTCACTGTAATCGATTTCTCGTACGATTCCGATTATCACAAATCGGAATAGGATCTCGATTCAAAGCGAGAG